TGCCTCCCCAGTCTTTGGCTGAGCCCTTCGTCAGAACTCGGAGATAGCGAACAATGACCGTGTCGATGCGCGAGTGCTCCGACGGGGTGAGGACAAAGGCTTCGAGCCCCTTTGGGCCCGTTTCCACAACCGTGTTCATGTACAGTTCACGTTTAAGCCTACGAAGGCCTCTTTCATGTCAGACGAGCCCCATCATACTCCATCCACCTCTCATCCCGTGCAAACGTCACTCCACCTCTACGCTGTTGTTACCCTGCGTCGTGTATCGTGCTCCCAGGTGTCGTGCGTGTGCCCTGACCGTACCATGCATAATAGGACAGAGAGCTTGCAATTGGCGATTGGCTATAGCCAATGTGGGGGTAATATCCTGTTTGTGCATGTTTTGAGGAAAAAAACGCCATGTTGTAAGGATCCGATTCATAGCAGCATCACTCTCAGCAATATTGTGGATAACGCCATGAACGTCGAGGCCACAGGGTAAAACTCGCTTACGAAACATAGTAGCAGCAAAGTCTGATAGGGCTACATCTAGACCATGCTCTCTTACCTCTGCTGTGCCTACATTGACCTCACAATACGCCAAGATAGGGGTGTGGTTGGGATCCGCCCTCACCGCCTCGACCGTTCCGTGGAAGACCCCCACACACTGTTTGGGCATTTCGCACGGCCCCTGGAAGTCCCCTTTTCCTGGGGGGAAGAATTGGCGCTCCTGGTGCAATTTGAAGCTGACGACACCATTCACAATTCGTTGTTTGGAAAAAGGCCTGGAAGTCTGGAGGTACAACCCGCCCACTGACTGCAACTAAGGATTGCGAGCTCGGACACATGAACGCATTGCTCAAATCATGTAACTCATTCAGATGGGGGACCTCAAGACAGCGAAGTGCGTGGCCGACCTTCTGTTGAACTAGTATAGCTCCCTCTTTGCGTCGATGACCTAGGAAGCCGTGCCACCAGCCAGGAAAGTTGGCATCATAATGCCTAGCCTCCTCGCCCCAACTATACACTGCATAACGATGTTTCCAAAACGTGTCTAACCAGAGGATAACACGGACGCTCTCCATATGTTCTTTGTTGTCATTCTTATTTCAGGAGACGTGTTCAGTAGTAGTAGCCTTAATAGGAAGCTGCTCCATTCGCATACTGTGAATCAAAATCTTTACTAACTCGCAGCGTGGTCGAAGAAGGTCGGTAGTCATGGTCAGTCTGTTCAGCCGTCCGTTTTTAGTTCGTGTTGATGCCTGTTGGACTTGATCAGGGTCCCTAAAGGCTGACGTCATTTCCCGAGGCTCGATCATCATCTCCTTCTCCACCTCTTCGTTCCCCCCCAGAGCAGGAAACAAGTCGTCCTCATCAGAACGTGGAGGAGTCACTTGGGTTGTTTTAAAGACGATAGCTGGATGCGACTCCTGCGGCTCCCTCCACTCACTGTCGTAGCCTAGCCCAAAGTAAGACGAACGGGATTTTTAAAGATGACCAGGGTCTAATACCATCAGTGCGACTGCAACAGGTACGCTCCAGCTGGTTGTTGCTCTATGATTTTTGCACGGCAGAGTTGATTGATCATCCTGTTTACAGCATGTTCCGCTAACTTCTCTATCTGGTGGCTACGAGTGAGAGGACCAGCGATGGGGGAGATCTCCAGGAACTCGGCAAGCTTAGTATGAGAATCCTCCATGTGCTCCGCCTCCATGCCTCCTTCCCCTTCTTTCTTCGAAATAGACTCCTCCAACTCCTGAAAACTGGGGATAAAGCTAGATACGTGATTGTACTTCCGCTGTTTCACCCCCGTTGATCTGCCGGCAAGAACCTTGGCGAGTCGATGCACTTCCGCTTGATGGCCCAGGCGGCGGTCCTCGTGGAGGTCCTGGTACACCTCTCTCCTTCTGGCTCGTGTTCGACGGCAGAGCTGCCGAAGAAGTCCGCTGAGTCTTTTTATTGTCCTGGGGCAATCGAGGTGCTCCTCGGAATGAACCATACACAGCCCAATATGTTGTGCCTCCAGGCGCTGACGAAAACCCTCACGTACAAGGGACAGTCGTTCACGCCTAAGTACACGGTATATATCGTGCTGTGGTATGGATGTGCGTTCGAAGTGTTTCCGTGCCGTGCCCTGTACGATATGGATCCAGTGATCGTAGTGCCTGTCCGTGTGTGTGTGTGTGTTTCGTCCGTGCATTCTGAGAACGTTTGAGCAGCATTTGCTAAGCGTGCCTCGAGTTCCTCGTGGAAGTCCTTCCTATAGCTACCTGATTGTAGTGCCTCCGACGATTGCTGATAGCCCAAACGGAAATGGAGAGGATCAGGCATAAAGACCAGCATGGCATACTCAACGTCCAGGTATACAGGCATGTGATCACGCGGGCGTGCGCTAGGAACCAACTGCAATTCTCGTCCACTCTTCCACGCTACCTGACATCGCCGAATCCCTGGAACGAGCCCTCGAGGCAACAAGAACGTGTCGATGGTACTCGTCTCCCTTTTGACCCCATAGTAAGTAGGGGCCGCACTCCTCAAGAAGGTACACGGTGCTGCTAAATCCAAATCCAGAACAAGATCAGTGACGAGCGTGCCCCCGAAGCCTTGACGACCGACATGGTGAGGTTCAGTCCGTTCGCCTGCTTCATCTCTGGGGGAGCCGTCCGCTGCAAGACCGAAGCTCGAATTCAAGTCCATCCCTATCACAACCGTGCTGCGTGCGCGAGCTTGCTCCACACGTGCGCGAAGATGCTCATGAGTACTGCGTATTGCCTTTATCTGTGCACGTCTCTTGAGTCCCGATTCGTATAGAGGCGGGGGGTACACAGTGATCAAGGTGAGATCAAGTCCAGGGCCTTGAATTCGTACCTCGCCGTATCTGCCTAGGATATTCGAGGGGCCTGCCTGGACGTGCTTGATGTAATTAGGATGTGTACGCTTGCCGAGTATGATGCAGCAGTCCGCACTCGAATTTGCATGTGGTGCACGACTCCATCCGAAATGCACGGCGACTCGACGTGAATTCAGCCGTTCCACATGGTATGTACGTCCTACCCATTCGCGCACACATGTACCTTGTAGAAAGACAAAGTCGACGTCTAAGTAAGAAGCAATCTCGTCCACTCTGCCCGCCGAGACCAAGTTGAGCGGGTTACACATGACAAACTTAAGGATTACGGCAATGAAGAAGAGGAGGGCAAGAGCGATTTGGGAAGGAGTATGCCACCCACGCACGTCACCTGCACACATCACAGAACAGGCCCAGCCATGGACAGGTGCAACGCTAGGATGTGTTGTACGCGCAAACGCCTCAACGTGATGTTCAGTACGTGTGTTTGAGGCTAGAAGCGGGGGAGGAAGAGGAGTAGGACGAGGAGTTCGGGGGAACAGTACGGAGCTCTGACGTGATGCGTGACGAATGGAACGTTGCCCACGGCGATGGGCATCCCAAGCCGACGTATTCAGACTACTTCTTTGCCTACGAGAAAGCCTGCTCAGAGGCAGGGTTCAGAGTGACGCGTAGACTGGTGGTGTAAAGCTCGAAGTTGAGACCCCTCCAGGAACCTGGGAAGCAAAAGGAAGAGAAGGATGAGGAGGAAACGGTTCCTCCTGCCCCTGTTGCGTTCCTCGCTGCTCTTCCAGACATCCGTCGGATCCGCCAGATCTCGGGCCTGCACTTGTTTTCGCCAGTGGGGGCCTCTGGAGGCCGCTCTCGACCCTTGGACCATTACAAACCAACATGCCCCCGAGAATGGGCTGAAAGTTTTGCGGATCGGTCGGCCATCTATTGCGAAGGCCTTACGGCCGGTGCCGCCGACCCTGGAGGGCGACCCATGCGTTCTCTAATGTGGCGGGGGGGGCCTCTTGGGGGTATCTTTGGGTCTCGTGTGGGGGGGGTCGTGTTGGGGCCGTTGTTGGCAATCAGAAGGCTTTCTCGGGAGCGTCTTTGGCCGACGACGACGTTGACGGCGGTGGCGATCTGGAGCTATTCTCAAGGGTCTCTCGGGGACTCTCTGGGGCTCTCTCGGGGACTCTCTCGGGGCCTTCTTGGGCCAGTTTGGGGCAATCTTGGGGGCATCTGGGGCCGTCTTGGAGCGTCGGCAAGTTGAAACGTCGAGAACGCCAGAATCTGTCAAAAACTTCGAGGAACTCATTGATTTTTCCCTCTTCGTGCCCTCTTGGGAGTGCTCTTGGAGACTTCTTGGAGCGTCTTGGCAATCTCTTGGGCCGTCTGGAGGCTACTTTGGCGTCTTCGACCGATGATTCGGCGATTCGGGGCCCTCTGGAGCCGTCTTGGAAGCCTCTTGGGGCACTCTTGGCCAGTCTGGGGGCTTTTCTAGGTCCCGGGACATCCCGGGGGGGATGCGTATCTGCTCCCCCCCCCCCCCCCGGGACCCCCCCCCCCCCCCCCCGGCGGGGAAGGGATCAAAGGGAAGGGGCTTCCCTTCGACTCAGCTACGACGTTGCTCAATTTCGCTTTGCCTTCGACTCAGCTACGACGTTGCTCGATTTCGCTTTGGTTTCGCTTTGGCTGGCGCGCCTGAGGGGAGGGCGACGACGACGACGACGACGACGACGACGACGACGACGAACGGAAGAGCATCGACGACGACGACGACGACGACGACGACGACGACGACGACGACGACGACGACGACGGCGACGACGGCGACGACGACGGCGGCGACGACGACGACGACGTTCACGACGAACTGAAAAGCATCTTCCACACGCCGACAGGGTCGGCGGATTTGTAAGAGTGACCTTTACCTGAGTGACTTTTGGTGCGGGCCCCCAGGAGACCCCTCAGCAGTGGATGTGCGCTTGGATGTGGCCCCTCCGCGGCCCCCGAAAGCCGCGCACCAGAGGTCACTGGTGCCTGTGGTCGCTCCTGCGTGTAGTAGCCGAATTGTTGAGTTGAAAAGATCGAGGCGCCCAGTGTCTGGGCATGACTGTTGCTCCTCCTCCTCCTCCTCCTCCTCCTGCTCCTGCTCCTCCTCCTCCTCTTCACCGTTGCGCAGGTGATTGGGGACGACGCCGTAGAGGCGCTCATCGCCATGTTTGAGCAGAACACGACGCTGGTGAAGATCATATGGAAGGTCGCTTGGCGCCAGCAGCGCGCGAGGACGGAGAGGGGGACAGGTGCGGGAGGGGGGCCCTGGGCAGGGAGAGGGTCAGGGAATCGCAGACGTGGATTTTAGGCCGGTGTATTCGTTGTCTCGACGGGCCCTCCTCCCAGCAGCGATGCGCGAGGTGAACTCCAGGCGGTCCTGGGAGGTCTCCAAGCTCATCACGCGCAACGTCTCCATCCAGAAGGCCAAGGCGTCAGGCGCGGGCGGGTGGATGCGGATCTCAGCGGGAGGAGGAGGAGGAGGAGGCGTAGGCAGGAGGCAGCAGGAGGAGGAGGAGGAGGAGGAGGAGGAGGAGGGATGAGGGAGAGAGAGAGAGAGAGAGAGAGAGAGAGAGACGACGACGACGACGACGACGACGACGACGACGACGACGACGACGAGGAGGGAGGAGGGAGGAAGAACAGGGAGCGGAGAGGGAGGAGGAAGGGATGCGCGCGAGCTCCCTCCGTCGCTAGGTCGCTGCTTACCCACGGCGCCAGCACAGTTCTGGAGGAGGAGGGGGAGGGGGAGGAGGAGGAGGAGGAGGAGGAGGAGAAGGAGGAGGAGGACCAATGTGAACCCAAGACTCATCAGCGATGTATCTGATATACCCAGAGACAGGGTTCCCGCGCCCAGAGGCGGCCCACTTCGCCCCCCTTCCCCGCCTGGCGTCAAACTTTCGTCTCGGTGGCCAGCGTTTTTTGTTGTGGGAGGGGCTCTCTGGAACTCAAGGGGTCCCCATCGGCGGCCCCCCAGATGACGCGGAGAGGCTTCCAAGACGGCCAAAAAATGCCCGAAGAGGGCCCCAGGAGGCTCCCCAGGAAGCCTCCGAGAGACCAAAGTTATCCTTGAGGGCTTCGCCCCCTGCCGCAGGCCCCCTCTCTCGAATGAGATATACTAGAGTCGCGTCGGTGCGTCTCGGCGCTGCGTTGGCGCATCTGGGAACATCGTGCGGGGCGGATAGGAATCATCAGCGCATATTGAGACGTGCCTGGGTTGTGGGTCTGAGGCCTCTTGTATATGTGTTGGGGTGTCGTGTGGAGCCTCTCGGGGGCCTCTTGGAGGGGGTCTGGGAGCCTCCTGGGGGCCTCCTGGGGCCTCGTGGGGTATCTTTTTGGCCTCTTGGATACCTCTTGGGCGCCTCTTGGGGTCTCTTGGGGCCTCTTGGCGGCCTCTTGGGGCCTCCTGGGGGCTTTCGGGGCTTCTCGGAGCGATTATTGTGCCATCGTGGAGCCCTCTTGGGCCGTCTTGGGCCCTCTTGGAGGCGTCTCGGGCTGTCTTGGGGCGGTCTTAGTAGCATCTCGAGCCGACTTGGAGCGTCGGAAAGCCGAACATGCGAGAAGGCCGGAATCCTTTACATTGCTTTGGCGTAAAATCGACGATGTTGTCCTCTTGGGGCTCTCTCGGGAGGCCTCTTGGAGCGCTCTTGGAGCCTCTTGGGGCCCTCTTGGGCAGTCTTGGAACCGTCTTCGGGCGCCTTGGAGCATTCCTGGCCTCGGCAATGCGAATCTGGTGTAATTTGCGAGGATGTATGGCCTCGGAGACGCGAAGATTGAGTAATGTACGATCGCCCTGGGGACGCAACAATCGCGTAATTTGCAAAGGTTTCTGGCTTCGGGGACGCGAGTATCGAGTCATTTACAATGGTGCGTTGCCTCGGGGACAAGAACTGTATACGTTACGAGACTTTGTGGCCTCAGGGACGTGAACATCGTGTAATTAACTAGGGGTTATGGCATCGGGGACGCGAATCTCGCGTATTATTGCGTGTCCCACGCCCCCCCATGAATTCAGAGAACGAGATCCGGGCGTGGTACATTGCCGGTCAACAATGTAGAGTAGGAAGCAGAAAGCAGGACTGTAACATTGGAGAGTTGAAATTTGAAATGGTGCAGGGAGCAGCAACTTCGGCCCACAGCCTGGTGGCCCCTCAAGTTGGCCGGCGGATCAACTGCTTCAAAGGTGTTGATACAAGGTTGTAAGCATTTTGGTTTTCGTGGTTCTAATCTCGCTTGGAGACGGCGCAGGATGCCTACAAGAGGGCCTCAAGACGGCCCAAGAAGGCTCCAAGATGGCCCAGGAGTTGCCCAAGACGAGCCCATGATGCCCCCCATGACAGCCCGAATACGCCCCACAGAAGCCTCCAAGACGGCCTCCGACGGCATCTGTCGGGCCGGGAGCCCTCTGAGACAGTCCAAAAAAGAGGCTCTGGAGCGACCCAGGAGGGCTCCAAGAAATCCAGAAAACCCCAAACGATGCCCCAGAAGATGCCTAGATGCTTCAAGAGGACCCAAAGCGGCCCCATGAGGATTGAAAGGCGATCGGCACCAGGACGGCCTCTGCGGGCCTTACGATGTCCCAACTACGCCCAGGCCACCGTCACGGATGGCGGCCGCGGTGAGGGACCACCCCCTGCGCATCCTTCATGGCGTTGAGAAAGTGCCACGTCTGCTAAGCCCGGACGACCGTCACGGATAGCCGCCGCGGTGAGGGACCACCCTTTGCGCACCCTTTATGGCGGCTAGGAGGTGCCACGCTTGCTGCGCCCAGACGACCGTCACAGATAGTGGCTGCAGTGAGTGACCACCCCCTGTGCACCCCTTATGGCGTCGAGAGAGTGCCACGTCTGCTACGCCCAGGCGACCGTCACTGGCGTCGAGAAAGTGCCACGCTTGCTACGCCCACACGACCGTCACGGATAGCGGTTGCGGTGATGGACCACCTTTTGCGCACCATCTACGGCGTCGAGAATGTGTCACACTTGTTGCGCCCAGACGATTGTCACAGATAGCGGCTGCGGTGAGGGACCACGTCTTGCGAATACTATGCGTGTGTGTTGTATGGTGTGCATGTCATGTGTGCACCTAGGTCAGCGCTTGCGTGTCTTGCGTATGTCTATGATGAGTGTACGGTTGTATACGTGTGTCGTATGCGGGCGTCGCGTTGTATATGTTGTGCGCGGCCGAGAGGAAGACGGAACATGAGAAGGAGGAGGATGAGGAGGAGGATAGGGATGAGAAAGAGTGGAGGTTGTGCGGAGAAGCGCGGGTGCGACGCGGATGGGAAGCACGCAAGAGCCCCACAACACATGCGGTGAATTATGAGGTCCGAGCTCTAGACGCCAATTGCGCAAGAGAGCAACACCAATCCTGGGGGACTCCTCGCCACCCGTTCCTTCCCCGCCTTCTGGCTCCAGAAAGTTTCCCAGCATTGGTTTCAATAATTTGTTCCCAACCCATCCTGTGTTGGGTTCTCGTTTTGAGTAGAGCGCAGTCTCATCATTGACTCGCGGGCGTTGCGGGATCTGCGAACGGCGCAACGGTCGCAGCTTTCGTGGGCTCCTGGGAGGTCCCGCGGAGTGGGGGGGGGGCACGGGGATCCAGTTGAGATTTCGCGGCTCTTTGGGGGGCTGTGAAGTGCGCAAGAGTCGCCATTCTCATAAGCTCATGAGGCCCCGCGGAGTGGGGGGCCACGGGGATCCAGTTGGCACCTCGCGGCTCCCTGGGGGGCTGTGAAGTGGGCAATCGTCGCCACTTTCGTGGGCTCCTGGGAGGTTCCGCGGATTGGCGGGCCACGGAGATCCATGTTGGACCTCGCAGCTCCTTGGGGGGCTGCGAAGTGCGCAATTGTCGCCGCGTTCGTGGGCATTTGGGAGGTCCGGCGAAGTGGCGGGCCACAGAGATCCATGTTGGACCTCGCGGCTCCTTGGGGGGCTGCGAAGTGCGCAATTGTTGCAACTTTCGTGGGCTCCCGGGGTCCCGCAGAGTGGGGGGCCACGGGGAGCCAGCTGGGACCTCGCGTCTCCCTGGGGAGCTGCGAAGTGCGCAAATGTCGTATTTTTCGCGGGCTCCTGGGAGGTCCAGCGGAGTGGGGGGGTCACGGGGATCCATGTTGGGACCTCGCGGGCTGCGAAGTGCGCAGTAGTAGTCGCCACTTTCGTTGGTTCCTGGAAGGTCCCACGGAGCCAGCTGGGACCTCGCGGCCCCCTGCGTGGGCTGAAAGTGCCCCAAGAGAGCTCCAAGACCGCTCGAGATGGCCTCAAGACAGCTACGAGGCCCATCAGAAAGCCCAAGCGTGCCCCAAAAAAGGGCCATCAAGAGAGCCACAAGAGGCCCACATTGTCGTTTGTATTTCAGAAGACTTGCATTTCTAGCGCATATGTTCTTTATTTAGCCGCGCGCTACACGGCCCGGAGGGCCGCCCAAGATCGCCCGAAGACGGCCTTTAAGGCCGCCAAAGAGGCCCTAGACAACTAGGCCGCAAGACGAGCCAAGCAAGCCCCAGAACGCCGTCACAGGCGCCTCAGACGGTGGGGAGGGCTTCAAGAGGGCCTCAGAGGGACCGAAAGGGATGATCTCGAACTGTCATGTCGATCCCTCCGACCCAAGAAGATCTTCGCGACCGCGAGCGGGCTTCGAAGCCGCCCAGAGGCACCCAGGAGGCCCCACAAGAGGCCGAAACGCTGCCCCAGGCCCCAGTAGGCACCTAAAGGCCCCTCAAGGTGGCCCCGAGCACGCGACCAAGACGTCTTGACCAGACAAAAAGTCATTCATGTGTTTGGGGTGGCGATTCTGTTATCTCCGCTTTTCTAGCCTCCTGCGCGATCCAGCCAGGCTCTCCATATTGCCCTCCCTAATTGCTTGCAAGGCCCCCAAGAGGTCTCCATGAGGCCACCACGTTGTTCAAAGACGACCCCAGTGGCTCCCATGATCGCCCAAGATTCCCCACTGAACAGGCCCCCAAGAGCGCCTAAATCAGGTGTGCATCCGACGTAATTTGGGTCTCACGTTGCCGCGCGAGGTCTGCAGGATTTTTCTCATGAGGGATGGAGGGAGGAGGGACGCTCAGTAGGGAAAAGGCTATAGACTCAGTGGGGGGCATCGTGAGTTTCAAGGTTTTCGAGCATTTTCGTTGGTGCTCGGCGGTTTTCCAGCCTCGGGATGCTTTCTGGCAGTTGCGCCTCGCCGAGAGCGTTCCGGAGGTGTCCGAATTGTCCCGAACTGCCACCGGTGATCTGATCTGAGCTATGGCCCGGAAACCAGGGGCAATGTTAAGAACGAATAGAACCTCAGGCGCCCATTCATCGCCGATGGGGGCCTGGTGGGCCCCCACCCCAGGACCATGCGGTCTCGCTGTCGGGGGCCTATCGAAGATCTATTGGCGGTGCGTCGCCGATTTCAGCGCGATGTTTCGTCCCATGCGCCTCATCGGCGGAGAGGGCTTCGGGCGGGTTTCTCTCTCTCTCTCTCTTTCTCTCCTTCTCCTCCTCCTCCTCCGCCTCCGCCTCCGCCTCCTCCTCCTCCTCCTCCTCCTTCTCCTCCTAACCACTGTTCCTCTTCCTCCTCACTCTTCCTCCTCACGTCTGGAGGCTTGCTTTTTCGAGGCATGGGCCCTCATCTGGCGCCCTTGGACCTCTCGACCCCTTCCCCAGGGCCTGCGTTCCATCCTGAGATCCTGAGCCGCTCTGGGACGGTCCTGGGGCCCGAGTCCGGCCCCCGCAGGTCCAGAATGGCGGAACGGCAGCCGCCCCGATTTGTGCACTGCATGGAAGCCAGGTGCCTGGGCTCCTCCCCCCTCCCTTCGCCCCTCTCGGACGGGCCCAGGAGGATCCGGATAGATCGCCCCAGCGCGTTCCAAAACCCTCTCGGAGCGTTCTGGAGCGCTCCTGGACGACCACGGCGCCTGGCATTTACATCCTCCAGAACAGCCCGGTGCGAAAGAGAGATCCCCGATTCGTCCCGGTCCGACTTTGTTCCAGCCTTGGTTTCGTTTCTTTCCCCTGGCCCCCGCCCCCCCGCCATCCCCCCTCTGGTTGATGGACACAGTCTTACAATTGTTTTTTGTGGATGCTTGTGAACACCCCCGCGCCCTCAATTTACTATTGTCGGGCGGCTCCGCAATGTGTCGATCTGCCGACTGGCCGAAATCCTGCGCCCCGCCGGCGACGCCAACCAGCATTGGATCGGGGGCAGGGGGCGCGTTAAAGTTTACTGGCGCCCAGGCCGCGCGGGTGGCGCAGGATGTCTCGACGACACGTAAGAGTGAATGTTTGCAAGGGTGACCTGTAGTGCGGGAACACTCGGGTCCCTGGACGATTGAACGCGATGTGAGAGCAGCGTCTTGCGAGCTCAGGTCTGGCCTCCCCTCGGCCCCCGAAACCCGCGCGCCAAAAAGGTCCTTCTTGCCTGGGCCTGGGGTCACTCTTGCGTGGAGCCGATGTGTCTTCCGTGCGCCGTCCCCCCCCTCCCCCGTCCCCTGCGGGGGCAGGCACGGACGCGGCCCACCTGCTGCCGAAGGCGAAGCCCGCGGAGGCCGCGGAGGCCCGGGCAGCCCCGCAGGGAGCGTTGGCGGGAGGTTAAGATTTGGGTACAACGAAGAACCACAACCATAATTATGCAGATTTTTCGGGAGGGCCCATGGTGGAGAACCCACCGACCTCGAACTAAGCATTTTGGTTGTGGTTGTGTTTGTGGTCGATTTGGCCGTGCTGAGACGCCACATCGACCAGAACCGGTGCAGAGCTGGTTTAGGTGTTTCGACAATGTTTGGCCTGCGCAAGATCCCCAGGGTGTGTCCTCGATGTGGTTTGTGGTCGCTTGCTGCCCCCGCATAAAAGTGCCCAGGCGCATTGTCACCAACACCCAACCTATTCCACGCGCCGCTGAGGACAGACACAGCAATGACGACCAACACGACGACGCCCACGAGCATTCCGACGACGACGGACACGACGTGGACAGTACGCCGGATATTGCACCACGTGCTTGTGACGCTGAAGACGCGGAAGAATATTTGGAACCGTGGGTTGATTGGGTAAAACGCGCCACCCGCAAGGCTGAGGCGGCAATGGAGAAATTACGAATCACAGATTGGGTTTCCAAAGTACGACTGCGAAGATGGCATTGGATACGGAGATTGGCCAACACCAGCGAGCACGAATGGACACGGCAGGTATTCCAATGGACTCCAGAACGCGACCCTGTTTACACGGCGAAACGCAGGGTGGGGAGACCCAAATTCAGATGGATTGACGACGTCCGACATTATATTGGAATCACTTTAGGACGGGAAGGCATTAGTATTTCAGATATTTTGTGTCTTGCGTCAACAGCTATGTGGGACGATCTGGCACCAGATTTTGCAGCATACGACAGAGGAGCGAACCAAGCGAATACTGCAATATCCCAGCGCCCCGGCGCCGCACCCGCAGCACCCTAGACGGACTTTCGCCACCGCCACCAGTTGACGACACCCAGTCTTCCACCTCCAACTCTCGACCTCCACCTATCGATTCCCAATCATCCACCTCCAGCTTCCCACCCCCACCCATCGACTCCACCTCACCCGACCAACCTCCAGCTTCCGACTTCCGACTCCCACCCAGCAGATGACGTCATCCAGTCTTCCTCCTCCAGCCTCAAGGGCAAGATCTCTGGCCTCAAAGGCAAGATCTCCAGCCTCAACGGCAAGATCTCTAGCCTCGAGGGCAAGATCTCCAGCCACAAGGGCAAGATCTCCAGCCTCTTCGACCTCTACCTGTCGACCTCCAGCCTCAAGGGCAATATGTCCAGATCTCCAGCCTCAAGGGCAAGATCTCCAGCCTCAAAGGCAAGATCTCCAGCCTCTTCGACCTCCACCTGTCGACCTCCAGCCTCAAGGGCAAGATCTCCAGCCTCAAGGGCAAGAGATGTTGGAAGTTGCACAGAGGAGTTTAGGAACAAGGTCGACTCGGACTTGCGATCGGGAATAATTTTCCAACACTCCGGCGCTCCGGCGCCGCACCCGCAGCACCCTAGACGGTGCCCATGTGCGGGCGTGTTTCGTGCTTCGTGGAGGCTTCTCGCGGCGTGCAATAGTTGTACGGTCGGACCGAGGTATAAGATCGAGGTAAGTTCGGGGAGGGTACCCTAATGGTCGTCCTGTTTGTTGGATGGTCTTGTGCATCCTGGGGGGGGGTACCCTCGAATGTTCTGTGTGTTTGGGCTGGTGGAGGGTCTCGTGTTCTTGAGGGATGTTATTATGTCCTAGGCCGTGCCGTGCCATCTAGTCCGCACGTGTGCCCCGTGAGCTATGTGACGACGTTGGCGCGGCGATTCTCTGGCGTCAGCCCGGCGTGAGTCCGACGTGAAACCGACGTAAGTCCGATGCGGATCCGTCGCAGAGTGGGTCTCAAGCTGCCGCGCAAGGCCTCCAGGATTCTCTCCATACGGCATGGAACAGGGAGGGAAGATCACTAGGGGAGGGCAAGTATGAGGGGCTTCGAGGTTCGAGGTTGCGGGCATCTTCGCGCTGCGATGCACCGGCGGCTGCGATGCTCCAGCGGTTTGAGGTACGGGACGACGTTCGTGCGGCGTTGTTCCAGCGTAAGTCCGACGTGATTCCGACGTAAGGTGTGGATCTGACGTAATTTGGGTCTCACGTTGCCGCGTGAGGCCTTCCGGATTTTTTTCATAAGGCTCACAAGGGATGGAAGGAGGAGGGACGATCAGCAGGGGAGGGGTATAGGCTCAGAGGGGGGGGGGTCGAGGTTTGAGATTATCAGGCATCTTCTTTGGTGCTCTGCGGCTTTCCAGCCGTGGATGCTTTTTCGGGCAGCTGCCCTCGCCGAGAGCGTTCTGAGGCTGCCCGAATCGTCCCGAACGGCTGCCAGACAGTCGAGTTATTGCCTGGAGTTCAGGTGTAACGTTAGGAGGGGATAGGTTGCGGGGAAGGACTACAGGTTCGGTGGGGGGTTTTGAGATTCCAGGTTTTTGGGCATTTTCGTCGGCGTTCGGCGGCTTTTCAGCCTCGAGATGCTTTCTGGCAGTTGCGCGTCGCCGCGAGCGTTTCGGGGGTGCCCGAATCGTCCAGAATGTCCGCCGGACAGTTGAGCTATGGCCCAGAAGCCAGGGGCAATGTTAGGGAGGGATCGGCTGAGGGGGGGGACGCATCGACCCTGAGTCGCCAATTCATCGCCGACGGGACCCTAATAGACCCACCCCGCATCTATCGGCGAAGTATCGCCAATTCCAACGCGATGTTTCCCTCCCTGAGCTGGTCGCCCCGTATCGTTGCTCTTCCGAAGCGGGGGAATGCAGTGGAATTATCCTCCTTGGTCTGGTTCGCGAGCGCGGCCTGCGATACAGGACGCCTTTTCCAACCTCACCTGCTTCTTGCCTTCCCCAAGCCCCCCTCCACTCACTCCTCCTTTACAGCGAGCGGTGGACATGGTAAAAATCAGTAGACAATTCACCATGGCTTGCCGCCGGGTGTGTTCGCACCTCGATGATGTGAGTGAGTGAGTGCAGCGTGTAGCGTGGCGTGTCAATTAATACAATTGCTTCGCTCATTCCGCCGGCCCATGTTGCATGATCGCTAATGCTTCGCCGTGGGCCCGGGGCCATTGTGGCGCCGCCGAGGAGGAGGAGGAAGATGAGGATGGGGAAGGGGAGGGGAGGAGGAGGAGAGGATGAGAAGGAGAGGAGGAGGATGAAGATAAGTAGGGGGCGGAGGAGGAAACCTCTCGTTGGCATCTTGTGTTGCTCTTGGGGCCAAACAGGATCGTCGTCAAGATGCTTCTTTGGGAGGCCTCTTGGGGTCGTTTGAGAAGCCGTTCGGGGGCGCCTGAGAGGCATTTTTGAACTCTTGGGGCCTCTTTTGGGCCTCCTGGGGGCCTCCTGGAGCCTCTTGGGGGCCTCTTGGCGGCATCTTGAGGCCTCTTGGGGGCCTCTTGGGGGCCTCTCGGGGCCTCCTGGGGCCCTCTTGGGGCGAAAGACTCGAGTTTTCGGTTCGTGGTCCCGCTCTTGGGCCCCTCTTGGGGCAGTCTTGGGCCCTCTTGGGGCCCTCTTGGAAGCCTCTTGGCCCGTCTTGGGGCGCTCTGGGGGGCCTCTTGGGCCGTCTTGGAGCATCGGATGGCCGAACAGGCGACAAGGCCAAAATCCTTCCAAAACCATCGTGACATTGATGATTTTGACCTCTCGGGCCCTCTTGTGAGGCCTCTTGGAAGCCACTTGGAGGCCTCTTGGGCCGTCTTGGGGTCATCATCGGCGTCTTGGAGCGCTCTTTGGGCGTCTCGGGGGCCTCTTGGGCAGTCTTGGGGACCTCTTGGGTCAGGAGAGGGGGTAGTCGATTGCGCCCCTCCCCTCGGAGGTCACGATCCTCGTGAGGGGTGTCGGAAAATTGCCCGGTCTGGCATCTCAGATCCGAGTGTCCCTGGGGTTTCCCGGGGTATTTTTCGTCCGGAGACCCCAGGGGCGGCCCCGCGCGCGCGAATTAGAATATTGTTCACCAGTCGCCGGAGATCTTAGCACGCCCTTGGCCCGTTGGGCCGGCGAATTACTTGGACAGCTTTCCAGACTATGTCATTTTCATCTCGCCATGGATTGTGCCATCCATGGGTTGTTCCATGCAGTGGGGACGCGCATCAAGAAACCATGCGCTTTTTGTCACAGTACCCTGGATTTCTTCGCTCCGCGCGCTGCGCGGTGACTTCCTGCGGCCGTTGAAGGAGCTGCTGCGTGCAGGGTGCCTTGGGTTCCCCCCAGTATGCATCTCGCGCGCGGGTTTTCAGGGCTGGGTTTCTTGCGAGGTTGATGCCGCGTCCGCACTGTGTTCCATCCGTGGGTTGCTCTATGGGCTGCACCTTGGGTTTTGAGCCATCCGCGGGTCACGCGCAGCACGTTGCTCCACAGCTTGCGCACTGCGCGGCCGGAACAAATTATCCCGGCAAAGCAACCTAACAGCGATGTGTAGGAGCATATTTGGAAGCATTCCCCTTAAGATTCAGATGAGAATCCAGTTGTAGAATTCTGTTGCTCTCGCAGTCGTAGTTGCATTCGCGATGACAGTCGCAGTGGCAACGGCAGTCGCAGTCACAGCCTCAGCCTCAGCCTGCCTCAGCCTCAGCCTCAGCCTGCCTCAGCCTCAGCCTGCCTCAGCCTCAGCCTCAGCCTGCTTCAGCCTCAGCCTCAGTCTGCCTTCAGCCTCGGCCTCAGCCTCAGCCTGCCTCAGCCTCACCCTGCATCAGCCTCAGCCTCAGCCTCAGCCTGCCTCAGCATCAGCCTGCCTCAGCCTCAGCCTCAGCCTGCCTCAGCCTCAGCCTCAGCCTGCTTCAGCCTCAGCCTCAGTCTGCCTTCAGCCTCGGCCTCAGCCTCAGCCTGCCTCAGCCTCAGCCTGCATCAGCCTCAGCCTCAGCCTCAGCCTGCCTCAGCATCAGCCTGCCTCAGCCTCAGCCTCCTCAGCCTCAGCCTCAGCCTGCTTCAGCCTCAGCCTCAGTCTGCCTTCAGCCTCGGCCTCAGCCTCAGCCTGCCTCAGCCTCAGCCTGCATCAGCCTCAGCCTCAGCCTCAGCCTGCCTCAGCCTCAGCCTGCCTCAGCCTCAGCCTCAGCCTGCCAGCCTCAGCCTCAGTCTGCCTTCAGCCTCGGCCTCAGCCTCAGCCTGCCTCAGCCTCAGCCTGCATCAGCCTCAGCCTCAGCCTCAGCCTCAGCCTGCCTCAGCATCAGCCTGCCTCAGCCTCAGCCTGCCTCAGCCTCAGCCTCAGCCTGCTTCAGCCTCAGCCTCAGTCTGCCTTCAGCCTCGGCTTCAGCCTCAGCCTGCTTCAGCCTCAGCCTGCCTCAGCCTCAGCATCAGCCTGCCTCAGCATTCAAAATGTGGCCTGGGAATGGAGTTCTGGGAACTCGAAAAACACGAAGTGGCCTACAGTTGCCTCCGGGCATTCAAAATGTGGCCCGGGAATGGAGTTCTGGGAACTCGTGACCACGAAGTGGCCTATTGTTGGCTCCGGGCATTCAAAATCATGCCCAGGAATGGAGTTCTGGGAACTCGAAGACCACGAAGTGGCCTACAGCTGGCTCCGGACATTCAAAATCATGCCCAGGAATGGAGTTCCTAGAACTCGAAGAACACGAAGTGGCCTACAGTTGGCTCCGGGCATTCAAAATCATGCCCAGGAATGGAGTTCTGGGAATTCGAAGACCGCGAAGTGCGTTACTGTTGGCTAATAAAAGAGTCCCCGGCACCCTCCCCCAGATCGCGCCCAGACCCCCTTGGGGCGTCATGATGTTTTTTTGACCCTACTAGAAACCTATCAGTCTTCGCTGTTAGGTAAAAACATCGTGCGAGCAGTTGCGCCACAGGTTGCGCACACGGCCATATCTCGCCAGGCACTCCTGAGTTGCACGCTGCGGGGCAGATTTGTTGCTGGCGTTCGTGTCGAGATATGTCGGCCCAGGCGCCCGTTAGTGCCTCACCAGCATCCCTTGCTCGCAAGTGCAGAAAGCCCGAGGAGGAAAGTACGTATTACATGAACGCAGTGTTGTACGCCTTCTCTTCTTTTCTATGCACCTCTGTGCTGTAGCCGCTTTAGCGCGGATTCGAGAGTGGAAAGATCACACATCGATAACTATTGTCAAGATGCCAGCGGACCACGGCGGAGCGCGACGGGACCCAAAGGAACGCAATGAGCGTCGAGGCGCTCGCGGCGGAGCTGCTTGAGACGTAGGGGGAGCTTGGGCGGCGTATGGAATGTTTCGACCCGCGCAATGAGACGATCAGAGGTTTGCAGACAACGGCCAAAGAGAGAGGCGAGCGTGAGGCGGCGATGGGTGTCCAGAAGGACAAGGCCTTCGTCAGCACGACCATAGGTGAAAAGGGCAAAACGCCGACGCCCGACAATGAGAGGAAGCCATGCGTCCATGACTGGAACTTCAACCTGGGATCTTTGATCGGTAACCAGCCAGAGTCGGAAGTGTTTGGGAAGGGTGACGCAAGTTGAGCACAGCCAGGTCCAGCTGAAGTTTAACAAATGGATGCAGATGACACAACCTTGTTGCACCAGCTGGCGGTGTACAAAGAAACGGTTGAACATGGAGTTATATTGGAGGTGATAAGCCAGGATGGATTCGAGGCTTACCGACGCCGGAGCCACCAACCAGCACGACCAGAAGAACATGGGCAGCAAGGGCAAAGGGCACGGCAAGGGCACGGACCGCGGCACGGGTAATCTATATCTATATATATATACTACAGCGAAGGCAACGGCAGGGACAGGAGGACACGCGCTACGAGCAGGGGTGGTGGCAACGCCAGCGGAGAGAAGCAGTTTCATGTGCATTGTGGACAACGCGGTAAGTGAAGACTCAAGCAAGAGGACTGCGACGCCAAGGTACACGACGTGATCACGTGAGATGGCAGCGGCTGGGACGAGAGCGGGGGCAGTTGGGGCACCACCGACGAGAAGGAAAAGGGCGAGGCATTGTCGCGCGAGAACGCCAGCGCCAGCGCCAGCGCCAACGCGCCCCAGCGCCGCGAGTGCGAGGACGCCGCGTGGATCTTCGCGATCGGCGGGCTCGACGGCCCGAGTAGTATGAGCGTTGGCCAGACGGTCGACGACGTGATGGTGGACACTAGCGCCGACGAGACGGCGCGCGGGCCTAGCGACTTCCCGGATTACCCCATCATGCAGGGCAAGAAGATGGGGATCAATGTCGCCAATGGCCTTTCTCAGGCACTTCGGCGATAAGCAGCTGAACTTGAAGACGAAGGACGACGACGAGACCAGCGTGAGGTTCCACGCCGCGAAGGCGACTCGACCGATCCTGAGCGCCAACAGCATCCACGTGGCAGGAGCAGCGGCGCAGGCCCCGCCAGCCGGCTCGACGGGCTCGCCATCGACCGCGCGGGGTCCGAGGGGCGGGCGATCGCGGCTTGGGCCGACGAGGGCGTTTGGCCTGATCTGCCCGCGCGCGACGGGTATGAGCAACGTCGGCGCCAGGATCGGCGCGGACGGCCCGAACGTCAACGGCGCGGCGACAGCCGTCCCAGAGCAGTACATCGCGACACAGGTGGACCAGCCGGCGGAGCTGAGACGGCGGCGAGGCCTGAGGCCGCAGCGTTGACGGCGCCGAAGGAATCGGCGACGGCCGAGAGAGAGGCTCGCCAGGTTCTTCACTGTCTGCACACAGCTTGGAACACGGACTGCGCGCGGGGGGCGGGGCTTGAGCGACGGGCGCGAAGGGGCAGGGACATCGAGGGCATCCCCGTGGCCCCAATCAATCGAGACCACATTTTCCGCAAGACGCGTCGCGACGAGAGGGCGCGCCCCGTCGCGAACGCGATCGACAGCTTGCGCAGTTGCACGGTCTCGATTTGGCGCGATGCGAATCGCGGAGTAGACTCGTTCGCGCTGACGCGCGCGCGCTCGTGCGGCACGTGGGGAAGCGAGGTGCCGAGCAGTTTTTCTCGCCCAGGGCGACCCCGAGAACGCGGCCAGCGCCGCCCCGACCAATCGCGCGAGGGGCATCGGCAACCGCGCGACGTCCACTTACACGCCAAAGGCGAGTGGGGGACGCGACGGCACGGCGGAAAAGGTTTCGCGCCGTCGAAGATGCCCGCAGGGGCGAAGCATGGCATCGCGATCTTGCCGGGGCGCCCCTCGATGACCTGGATCGCGCGCCGCGCGTCGCGGGCCCGCGATCGCCCCCGGGCCCGCCGCCGCCAAGTTGGAGGTTCATTCGGAGGTTCGTGGGGGGCGAGCGCCGCGACAAGCAGCTTCTCCTGGCCATCAAGAGCAAGCTTCCCTGCGACGCGAAGGCGCCGAACGCATCGCTGTCAGTGATGGACAGGCCAGCCGCCGACTTCAACGCGCCGCGGCGCGCCATGATCCCGCGACCTGCGGGCGCCGCGCCCGAGGATGAGCAGCCGGGCCCGCCCGCGGCGGAGGCGAGGTTCGACGTGCCGCGGGAGGTGGGCCCGGAAAGTGCAGAGGCAGCTACCAGCGGCGACGAGGCCGCGGGCGACGTTGGGGGCGCGCCTGGGCCCGCCGCGAGGAGACCGAAGCGGCGACCAGCTACGCGAGTGCTTCCAGACCCGACGACAGCAAAGTTCACCCAAGGTTGTAGTGGATGCCTGGGGGGCACATCATATCGCCATTTGAGTTTTGGTTTCCAGAGGAGGATGTTGCCTCCAAACGAGCCGCGCAGCAGGCGGGCTGCAACGGAGGGCACAGCTGTGCCTGAGCAGAAGCGCGCAGCTGTCGAGGAGCCGGAGAGCACGGCTGGCACGCGGGCCAGCGACGAGGCCAGGCGAGGCGAACAAAAAGAGGAAGATCGGCGTGGTGGGCGTCGGCAGCGTGTCCGTCGCCAACGTGATGGGGTGCTCCGTCGACGCCGAGCTCTGCGCGCCGCGCGAGATCGACCCCAACTTCGAGCTGCTCGGCGAGGCGCAATGCGACGACGACGACGACGGCGACGACGGCGAGCGCCTCGACCCAGACGCCGCCCGCGAGGGGATCAAGAGGGAGGCGAAGTTCGCGGGGCCCCTCGGCGCCGGCGAGGTCGCGGGGCGCCCCCGCGACGGGAAAGCGCGGGGCACGAGGCGTAGCGGGTTCGTCTCGAAGCAACTCTGGGACGCCCGGGCGGGGGACTTCCTCGCCTGCGCCCCGCGCGCGGAGGCCGCGCGACTGCTGGCGGCGGCGCCGCTGCTTATGCGCGTCGTGGCGACGACGGACTCCGGCGCGGCGTTCGCGCGCGCCCATGAAGGGCGGCGCCGAGATCTAGGTGGAAATGCCGCCCATGCGCGGCGTGGGACGTGGGCGCGCGCGGAGGTTGAAGAGGTCTCTCTGAGCTCAGTAAGGCAGCGCCCCGCAACCATGACATTCCTGAGAGCATACGATTGTCTCATCGAGATGGACATCAGGGTCGCGGTCCACGCGGACGATCCTCATGCCTCAGGTCCCACACAGGGCGTGCTCGACGAATTCTTCGATAAGTTGGTCAAATACCTCGCGATCATGGGCCGGCGCGCCTTAGCGAGGCCCCCGCGATCTACCTCGGCCCGTCGCCGCGCAGGTTCGGCGACGCGACCGCATAGAAGAGCGAGCCCGGGCGCGTCGAGGGCGTCCGCGACGCGGCAGGGGTGCCGGGCGACAGGCCCGCTGCCGCGGCAGGGGCAAGGTCGGACCTCGCCCAGCCCGGGGCCGAGGAGCCGCTCAACAGCGAGGAGCTTTTGCTGCGCGGGGTTCTGCGGGATAGATCCAGCACGCGACCCCGCGTAGTCTGGGGCGCGATGCGCCCGCGGCAAGATCTCGGCCGTCGGCTGCGCGAGTTGCCGACGCGGGGATTTCGAAGCCCCTTATATTCGCTACCTCGAAGGGGCGGTCGACCCGGCCATGGCCCACCGCCCCGCGCAGCACTGGAGGCGCCTCCGGGGCGGCGCCGACTCGGACTGGGCAGGGTGCCGCGGGGCCCGCAAGTCGACGGCATGCGGCATCGCGCGGCGGTGCGGGGCGGCCATCAGCGCCCGCGCCCGCGAGGTGTCCGCGCTCGCCCAGTCGAGCCCCGATGCCGCGTGCCTGACAGTCGTGGAACTGGCGGCGAAGATGCTGCAGGTGAAGGAGCTCGTCAAGTTCACGGGCTTCGACGCGCCGCTGGAAGTCGAGTGCGACGCGCCCTCCGCCATCGCGACTGCCTCGCGACGCGAGCTCGGCAGGCTGCGACTCCCGGAGATGAAATGGCTCTGGCTGCAGCAGCTGATCGGGGCGGGCCAGATCATGATCGCGAAGGCGCAGGGGCGGATCATATGCCCGACGTCGGGGCGCAGTCTCCTGGGAAGGTTGCGCCCGAGAGGTGCCGCGCCATGCCCGGTCTGGTTTCCCTCGACACCCTCGGCGCCGGCATCGCGGCTGCTTGAGTGCGTCAAGAGGCGTCTGGTGCCCGGCGACACTCATGGCCTTGTTGAATGTGGGAGCTCACCGTAGATCTGTCCACAGGCGATTTCGACTTGCACCTGGTGATCGCGATGGCCCGGTCCACCTGCCGCGTGCACGCGGGCGCGCTGGTGAGCTTCTGCCGACGCCGGCGACGTCGGAGATCGGCGGCAGGGCGGACAGGGGCCGCTGCAAGGGGAAGTCCAGCAAAGGATCACTGAGTGGGTTGAGTAGAGCCAGAGTGCCTCCCATTCGATCCTGAGGCGCCGGGGCCGCTCTTGGACGCTCCGGGCCGCGGCCGCGGCGGGGCCGCCCTTTCGCGCCACCTGGGCGCGATCTGTGCTGCGGCCCTTTCGAGCCCGAACTGCCAGGCACTGCGCAACGGGACCCACCGCCTGGCGACGAAGAGCGGATGCGTGGTACGCGACCGAGTGCTGGGCCAGGGGCTGCGAGTGCTGCGCTGCGCGGACAGGGACGAGAACGCGGGCCACGCCGACGACACTTGCCGCGGACTGGGGTCGTGGAGGCGCCGTGTCGTGAGTCGTGGAGCGCATGCGTTCTGCTTCGAGCATCGCGGCTAACACTTGTACCTCGAAGCGCACGCCCTTGGCAAGAGGCGTGAGGATGGGTGTCGAGAAATGTCGCCCCAGACGTCCTCCTTTCCCTCACCTACATATCCCTTGCTTACACTCGCAGAAACCCGAGGGCAACATCACTTGCACAAAGGCAAAGTTGCACGGTACGTATTCCTCTCTTTTTGTCCACGCATTTCTTTGTTGCAGCTGTTTTGGCGCGTCAGGATTCCGTCGAGAATTGTTGCCAAGAGTTCGCGGTCCCATAGTTTGTTTGTTGACTGACATGATGTAATATGCATGCCCGGAGGGAAAAAAAGGCTTCGCACTCGGCCGCCCCAACATACAACGACCTGTTCTCTGCTGCGCCATACGTTGCGCACTCGCCCGCCGAGAATACCAAAGACCTGCCAGTGGTGTCCCTGCTAGATGTTTATTCGGTGGCGGCGAACAAAAAAGCTGGTTACTACTTGCGCCACAGTTGCACGTTAATAGATCCTGCTCGTGGTTGCGCCTTTGGCAGCGCACCCTGCCGCCAGAAATAATTATGCCTGCTCTTACATGCGCCACAGGTCAGGTTGCACATTCGGCGGGCGAGAATTCAACTGCTTCCACTAGGTTGCGCCATGGGTTGCGCGCTTGATTGCCGATCGTAAACTGCTTTCATTTGCCGCGCCGTAGGTTGCGCGATTGGTGGCCGAGGGGACAAGGACAGCCTAGCGGGCGCGACCAATCCAGCTGAGTCAGCCCAAACAGCCCTGGTAGTTCAGCCACTTGGTTTCGCGAGAAGCACAATCCGGGCCACGCCCGAACACACATGCACAATTCACGGGGGACCTGGCCCCGAGGCCCGCGGGCCACGACCACTGCTGCAAATTGGGGTGCTTGGAGTTCGGCCCAGTCCTGGGGTGCCGGGGGGCGGAGCGGCCCTCGGAGCGTTAAGACCACCACCACGGCGGTCCCAAAGAGAGATCCGAATTTTTCCCAAGACGTTTTCGAGGGCTCTTAGACGGCTCACGAGGCGTCTTGCACGCTCCGAGAGGCTTCGTCCCTAAGAACAGTCGAACAGGACCTCACAGAGGGCCCCGACGATGGGCAAACCGGTCCGATTCTTTTTCGCGAAAACGAGGATGTGTTGCATATTCACGTGCTCGGTTTGAACACCGTTCAAGACAGCCCAAAAGGGTTCAGCATCGTCTGAAGACGGCCCAAAAAGCCCCCAAGAGGGCCCCAAGAAGGCCCGAGAAGCCCCAGAGACAGAGAGCCTCAAGAGGCCCAAGAGCGGGAATCCAAACTGGCAATTCGAGCCGTCCGCCCCAAAATGACCCACGAGGCCGACAACAGGTCCCCCAAGACGACCCCAGAAGGCCCTCAAGAGGTCCAACACGGAGCTTACACAGGCCCCAAACCAAGAAATGTGCGAGGCAGCCCCGAGGCAGTTCGGAAAAGGAGGAGGATGCAATTGGATTCCGAACGCGCATGTGCGTGGGGGTTGACCAGAGCTGGAGCGCGCGAGCGAAGCGCCCGCGATGGTTGCAACATTATATTGTGCCCCCTCCGTGGATGTGTCCTTTATCGCTCTCGCTACCTCCCTCCCCTCACTTCATTTTCCGAGCACAGTCCTCCAGAGTCCAGACAGTCCTCCAGAGTCCAGACAGAATCTGATGAGTATTGGGAAGAGGTGATCATCGATCCTCCTCCTAACGGCTTCGGTTCAACGTCCGAATTCCACGAGTCCAATCCGATATGATTTTTGGTTTGATGTCTGCTCCGCCGACCTTGGAAGTCGGGACTGGCTTGTGGCTATCCATCCAAGCTTGAGCCCTGAGCAAATAGAGCTGCAGGAAGACAACAATAAGGTTAATTCCACCTGCCATCCTCTAAGATCGCCTCTTCCCTCTGTGACCGTGCGTTGGCCCGTTCGTGAACCAGGACCTCCAAAGAACGATAAGTGGTTTACTGTGAGGTGCCGTCTGTCGCTGGGCACGCACCCCGAGAGCCGTGTACCCTTTTTGACCAACGTCTCTCAATCTCAGGACCCCAACTCTTCCAGAGCAGCGACTTGAGTGCGCCTCCAGCTCCAGAGGCTGGAGGTCATCGGGCCCGTCGACCCGATCGGCGTGCCCCCTGCCCCGTGATTGGCATCGCTCGGACGTGTGTGTGTGTGTGTGTGTCTGTGTGTGTGTGTGTCTGTGTGTGTGTCTGTGTGTGTCTGTGTGTGTGTGTGTGTCTGTGTGTGTGTGTCTGTGTGTGTGTCTGTGTGTGTTTGTGTGTTTGTGTGTGCGTCTCTGTGTGTGCGTGTGTGTGTGTGTGTGTGCTTGTGTGTGTGCGTCTGTGTGTGTGCTTGTGAGTGCTTATGTTTTTTTTTGGGGTGGAGCATCGAGGAGCATCCTGGATCATCCGGCAGGAAGGCACGCACGACACTTAAAAAGTTGGTAGACTCAATGTCCGAGCGGTGGCAAGTTGGGCGAGACCCTCCCCACGTGGGGCCCGCGGCCGCCACAGGTGGCGGCGAAGCCTGCCAATGCCCCGGCGGTCAGGGCGGAGGACCCCATGCGCCGAGCGGCCAAGCGGCCGGCGCCGCAGACACGCTGGCGAATTGGGGGTCGCGCAATGGGGGGGCGAAAAATGGGGGGGGGCAGCGAGGGCTGCCGAAAAGGGGCCCCTGTAGGGTCCCTACAGGGGTCAGGGGGCCTTCAGGGCCCGAGAAGGGCACCTTTCTTCCCCCACTTCTTATCGCCCCCCATTACCTCGCCAAGCGGAACGGTTCGGGTTTCTGAGAGCGTGAATCACCGACGTTCAATTTCTCACTGAGTGCCTACTCGCAAATGTCCGAACCCTCACACACACACACACATGTTTGCCTCGATGCAGAATGAATCGTAAATCTCCCCTGGCGGCTGCGGACCAGATGGGAGTATCTATCTAGGGAGTAGTGGAACACTTTTGTTTTGTGAAGCGAACGAGTGCATCGTTCGAAGCACTATTACAATTTGATAAACTACATGTCGGAGGTCCGCGAGGATTTCTTGGATGTGCGCTGGAGCCCCCTGGCGGCGCATCTGGCGCCGCCCCTGGCGCCGCCCCCAGCACGCTCCGCGCGCCAGGGAGAGGGCCCCAGCAGATATCCAAGAAGTCCGATCGGCACTTCGAAACTGTGTGTGTATTATCATGGCTTGTCCTTCCAGCAGTGGTTCCAGGAGCGAGGATGGAACTCTTGGACGCCTCTGGCGTTGCTCGCTCCTCGGGAGGCCGACCACCCCAGGCGCGCTGGTGCCGCCTTAAACCTCTTGATTTTTGAGAGCGCACGGCAAACGAGAGCTAGCTGCTCGTTCTGGGGACCTTCCTGGATCCACTCGCTCCACGCTTGCGTTCACGCTGCGTCAAACGTCCGTCGACGAGAGTCGAATTTGGGTCGAACTGGAAGCGAACAGATCTGTCAGGTGGGCCCTAGGGAGCATGAGAAAGGAGCCTCTGGACGCTTCCGGCGCTCCTCGATAATCGGGGAGGTCCTCCATGGATCCTCCAGGGCGAGGCGGGCCGTCTAAGAGGGGCAGATCTTGCCGACTTTGTGAGAGGCTTGCGCGGAGCATGTTATGTAAAAAGGAAGTATATCGAAAGAGGTCAACGCCTCGACGCCCAGGCACCAAATTCGAAGAACCCAAAACGGCATAAACATGCACGTTCGGAGGTCCGCGTGGAGTTCTTGGTCGGTGCTGGACCCCCCTCCCTGGCGCACGGAGCGAGCCAGGGGCGGCGCTGCAGGGGTGATGGCGGAGATCCTGGAAGCATTTCCCCCTCCTCTCTTCGCCTTCCGCACTCCTCGTCCTCGGCCCTCCGCCCCCCGCTCCCCTTTTTGGAGAAGGGCGAGGGCGATTCCCTCGTCCTCACCATCCTCCTCCCGTCTTCTACGCGTGGTGCCCCATGTTTTCAAGGGTAAGCCGCTCTCCCGGAAGCCAGGATGCGCAGAATTATCTGGGTCAGTTCCAACGTGCGTAGAGCAATTCATTTGAGCTCCCCGCGCATTGCTCGTTGCTCACTGCCTTTTCCCCGCTCTCCCTTTACTCCCCCCCTCCAAGATTGTGTTTTCCATCTTCTGGCGCGTATATGACGGTCGCTACCCGGCGAAACCCATTCCCCCCCTCGGGGTAACGATAACGATCGTACGTAGAAGTAGGATTTGGACTCCCCATGCTGGTGCTCGCGCGCATACGATAGTCCATTGCGTTCACAGCGCACCTTCCTGCCCCGTCGTGCCCCACCTTGCCCAAGCGTTATCACTACCCTGCGCCCCCCCCCCCCTCCCTCCCCCAGGTCACGACCATGACCCGAAATGCTAGGAGAACAATGTCTTCTCCCCTGCCCCCCAGCCCCCGAGGACGCCGACGACAGCTCCACGAGGCCTGCCCCGCCATTCCAGGAGTCGGGGCGACTGCCGGCGAGGGCGAGGAGGACGCCGAAGACGATGAGCGAGGAGGAGGACGAATACGAAGGAGGACGCCGAAGACGAGCGAAGAGGAGGAGGAAGTGTTTGTCATGTTACGACTGGGTGAGAAGCTATGTTAGCAAATATTTGTATTGGGTCGGTCGGTCGCCGTTACCCACGCCGTTTGGTTAAAATGTCGATCAGTGGGGCGTTCCCTTGGCCCGCTAGTATATACATTAGAAATTTAGGATTGATCTACGCATTGACTTATGTATTCATATCTGTATCTACTGTTATGAAGAAACATAAAACGCCTCCGATCACATCCCTCCCCAGGAGTTGCATGATAGCGGGCCCTGAGATCCAACCTTGAACATATGCGAGAGCCCATGTTTGTCATAGAAAGAACAAACAGTACGCACCCTTCGCCTTCTACACGCGAGGCGACTACTGATGTAAACGCTGTTAAAAAAAAGAGAAACAAACAACACAAAACAAACAAACATGGGTAGGCATGCACGATCTGCGCTGCAGACCCACGAGAAAGCGATCGCGGAGGCCTGCGAGGCTCTGGAGCTGCAGAGCCTGCGAATCGTGCCTCATTGTTTTCGGCACTGGTCCCTCGACGGATGCGTACTCCAAGGCCTCGAGCTTACAGCAGATCCAGGATCGTTGAAAGTTTGTTGCATCTACGCGCAGGTGAGAGAAGCACTCGACACTTCTACGGCAAATGCACAAAATGACGGCTCAGCAGATGAGAATTGCGATTGCCGCTGGTCGTGAGTTCCCAGACCTGCTCAAGAGATCCTTTCGCCAGTATCGTTGATTTCTTCGTCTCCTACCACTGCCCGCCACCACCCTGGTGATGCGGGATATGGGAATTTCAGCTGATGAGAGAGTGCAGATTGCGCGCAAAGCGCTGCTTCTTTTCTCAATGCCGCCGTGGATGGATCGATGCTTCATGTGAGCCTCAGCTGGATAGTGCTACGGCCTACGCCTCTCCGCCGCTTTCTTGAAGGCCGTCTTTTAGGATGTGCGAATGTCAGTTCTTACGCGTTGTTCACAGAGAGAATGATAGAGAGAGAGGCCTGTGGACACAGACGAAGCCATTGAAGGGTGTTGTCAGTAGTCATTTCTTTGCTCGCCTCCCGTGCCCCGCCTGCCACCCTCGATGGCCGAGGCTTGTCCAGACCCCTCGTCCGAGGGGAACTTCAAGTGATGAGAGCGTGCAGATTGTACGCGAAGCGCTTCTTGTTCTCTCAATGCCGCTGTGGATGGACGCAAAGGGTTTCTTCTTCTCTCAGTGCCGGTGTGGATGGATCGATGCTTCATCCTGCCTGAAAAATGTATGTTTCAGCTGGTTAGTGATACGGCCTACCCCTTTTCCGCCGCTTCCTTGAAGGCCGCCATTTTAGGACGTGTATATACATTTATGTAGTTCTTGATGCGCGTATAGGTACTGATTACACCTGAGAAAACCCTTCCAGAGGATGATTTGAAAATTAATACTATGGATCTTGAGATCGACAGTGGAATCGATATTGAGGACGATTGTAAGGTCGATCGTGAGACCGAGAGCGAAATCGATTCAATGAGATCGATAGTGAGATCGATCGCGAGATCGCTTATGCGATCTCTAGTGAGATCGCTTGTGAGATGGATAGTGAGATCGATTTTGAGATCGATGGTGAGATCGATAGAGAAGTGGGAAATGAGATCGATGGTGAGACCGATCGATAAGAAGATCGACCAGGAACCCGGGAACCTGGGAACCTTGCCGCCCACCGAAATCGGCCCCGAACCGGGAACTCTGGACCCCGGAACCGGGAACCCGGGAACCCAGCGTGCGACCAAAATCGGCGGGAAATGTTCGCCACATTTTTCAATTACACTTGAGAAAACCCTAATCAGTGGATGATTTGAAAATTAGTGATATGGATCTTGAGATCGATTGTGAGATCGATAATTGAATTCGTAAAGAACAATTGCAAGGTCGATCGTGAGACCGAGAGTGAAATCGATTCAATGAGATCGATAGTCAAGGAGATCGACCGCGAGATCGCTCATGCGATCTCTAGTGAGATCGCTTGTGAGATGGATAGTGAGATCGATTGAGATCGATGGTGAGATCGATAGAGAAGTGGGAAATGAGATCGATGGTGAGACCGATCGATAAGAAGATCGACCAGGAACCCGGGAACCTGGGAAACTTGCCGCCCACCGAAATCGGCCCGGGAACCGGGAACCCGGGAACCCGGAACCAGGAACTTTGGTTCCAGCGTGTGACCAAAATCGGCGGGAAATGTTCGCCTAATCTTTCAACCTCCGCTAGGATCCCTTCAGTGCAAGCACTGCTTGGGGAACCTCCGCGAGGACCCCTGCAGTGCAAGCACTGATTGGGGGAAAAAGCCACGTAGCAAACGGCGAGGAGTCTGATCAAATTGCGCAGAATTGTTCGAGAAGGTCGGATCTCAGTGAGATCCGTCCTTCCCGAACAATTTGCGAAATCGTGAGAAATCACGCCCGGAACCCATCTTGTCGCGCCATTTTTCGAGCCGGTGCGATTTGTGCTGGTCCTTAGGCCCGAAGCCGGGCGAAACGTCTGGCTCGCAAAAAATAGGCGCTGGGATCTCAGGGAAAGATGACGGGGGAGACAAGTTGTCAGAGACAACGGGCGCAGAGCAGTGGCGGCCAGAGCAGCGCCCGCCGCGCGCAGGGCCAGCGCCGTCGTGCCGAGCGACACCAGCGCCGCGACCAGCGGCGCCAGCTCGCCAGCGCCGCCTGCCCAGGGCGGCGAGGCCAGTGCGTCGACCTCGTCCTTGTTCGTCCTCGTCGTCCTCGTCGGCGTCCTCGTGAAAGGGGACAGACGCCCAGCGTTAAGTCGGGCATGTCCCTCTACAGGGGAAGTATTCAAAAAACGTCGAAGAATTGTCTGGGGACGATGTTTCGATCATTTTAATTACTGTTAAACTATGCTTGGAATATCTTTACTTTTCCTCCACGATACAACTGTAGGAGGACATGCCCGACCTAAACCCAGCGGCTTGAAACAATCAATATGGCCTGGACCGGCAAAGAACGGCTCAGGATGAGAAGCTTGTCTTGGGTAAGGGGTCGAACGTTTTGGTGGCAGGCCTTGTCGGAAGGCGTCGGGCTTCTCAGAAGCCCTCCAGCTTTCTGGGAAGTTTTCCGTGGTGTCAGAGTAGGCTCTGGTAGTTTCTCAGAGAAGGCTTGAGGCCTTCTGAGCCGTCCGTTTTCTCCCGTTGTTCATTTCCGTGTGCGCGCCGCCGAGTCATCCTCCGTTCGGTACGACCGAAATGGGTGGAGAAAGAATGTGAGCGACAACTGACATCAGTTCCTGTCCGCTTTGGAACGGGACTCACTATCGGTGTCGTCGTTGGCGCTGTGCATTTCACACAGCAAGTCGCCTGCCGATGTGGAACAGCATTCGCTGTTGGGCATCGTATCCGTTTCGGGTGCCAGTCCGCATCGTCTTCGTATTTCATCATGGTTCGGATTTTGTTTTTTGGAGGAAAGCCCAGGCATCCGGCATTTCGACAAAAGTCGATACCGATTCGTTTTGTCGTTTCGAGTATTCATCTTGCCAAGTTTGGGGCCCCAGGACAGTCCAAGTACGGCTCTGGGGAATTGGTCGAGAGTTTCGGGGGGTCATCTCTCGAACAAGTCAAGTCGCCAGGCGTTTGGGTAATTCGCCCTTCTTCTCTCCCGTCCTCCTTGTGCTTGTCATCCTCGTCCTCCGCCTCCTCGTCATCCTCCTCGTCCTCCTCCCTTCGCCCTTCATCCCTCTTCCGTATCTAAGACGCCGGCGAATCACCGCCGCCCCTTGCCCTTTCGGAAGCGCCTATGTGGCCGAACGTTGTGGCCAGAGGCCTGCCAAGCTATCGGACCATGTGTTCCCCGAATCGGTTTGGAAAGCGTTTGGGGAACACGGCTGGGGAGGAGGAAGGGGAGGAGAGGGAGGAAGGAGAAGGGAGGAGGAGGCCTCCTGGGTGCCTCTTGGGCGACTCTCGGGTTCTATTGGGCCATCTTTACGGTCTCGGAGGCATCTTGGGATTGTCTTAGAAGCCAGTTTGGGTCTATATTGTGGCTTCTCGGGGCCATCTTGATCATCTTGGACGCATCTTGGGCCACAGCTCGGGCAACGTGGCCGAGCGTTGCGGCAAAAGCTCTGCCAATGTATCGGGCCATGTGTTCCCCCAACCGCTGTGGAACCCCTTCGGGGAACACTTGGGGGAGGATGGCAAAGCTCGGGTGTTCTCACGACTAGGAAAACTGAAACACGACAAGAGAAAACTGAAACACGACAAGGCACGGCTTATTCACGACAAGCATTTTCGGCGCCCACTTTCGCCGCCCACTTTCGGCGCCCACTTTCGCCGCCCACTTTCGCCGCCCACTTTCGCCGCCCACTTTCGCCGCCCACTTTCGGCGCTCACTTCCGCCGCCCACTTTCGCCGCCCACTTTCGCCGCCCACTTTCGCCGCCCACTTTCGCCGCCCACTTTCGCCGCCCACTTTCGCCGCCCACTTTCGCCGCCCACTTTCGCCGCCCATTTTCGGCGCCCACTTTCGCCGCCCACTTCTGGCGCCCACTTTCGCCGCCCATTTTCGCCGCCCACTTTCGCCGCCCACTTTCGCCGCCCACTTTCGCCGCCCACTTTCGCCGCCCACTTTCGCCGCCCACTTTCGGCGCCCACTTTCGCCGCCCACTTTTCGGCGCCCACTTTCGGCGCCCACTTTCGGCGCCACTTTCGCCGCCTTCTTTCGGCGCTCACTTTCGCCGCCCACTTTCGGCGCCCACTTTCGGCGCCCTTTTTCGCCGTTTCGCCGCCCACTTTCGGCGCCCACTTTCGCCGCCCACTTTCGGCGCCCACTTTCGCCGCCCACTTTCGGCGCCCACTTTCGCCGCCCACTTTCGCCGCCCACTTTCGCCGCCCACTTTCGCCGCCCACTTTCGCCGCCCACTTTCGCCGCCCACTTTCGCCGCCCACTTTCGCCGCCCACTTTCGGCGCCCACTTTCGCCGCCCATTTTCGGCGCCCACTTTCGGCGCCCACTTTCGGCGCTCACGTTCGGCGCTCACTTTCGGCGCTCACTTTCGCCGCCCACTTTCGGCGCCGAAAGTGGGCGGCGAAAGTGGGCGCCGAACGTGGGCGACGCACGTGGGCGGCGAAAGTCGGCGGCGAACGTAGGCGGCGAACGTGGGCGGCGAAAGTGGGCGGCGAATGTGGGCGGCGAAGGCGAACTTGGGCGGCGAAAGTGGGCGGCGAAAGTGGGCGGCGAAAGTGGGCGGCGAAAGTGGGCGCCGAAAGTGGGCGGCGAAAGTGGGCGCCGGAAGTGGGCGGCGAAAGTGGACGCCGAACGTGGGCGGCGAAAGTGGGCGCCGAAAGTGGGCGCCGAAAGTGGGCGCCGAAAGTGGGCGGCGAGCGTGGGCTTGCTTGTCGTGAATCTGGTATTTCCTTGTCGTGAAGCTGCTTGTTGCGAAACCATCCCGGCCATGAGGATGGCGCGGAAGATCAAGAGGGTACGGAGGAGGTGGTGGAGGTGGAGGAGGAGGAGGAGGAGGAGGAGGAGGAGGAGGAGGAGGAGGCATTTCGGGAGCCTCTTGGGACACTCTTGGGGCCTCCTGGGAGCTTCCTGGGAGCCTCTTGGATCTTTTGGCCATCTTAATATGCTCTTTGGCCGTCTTGGGGGCTTCTCTGGGGCCTCTTTGGCTGTCTTGGTGGGCTCCTGGCCCGTCTGACGCCGTCGGAAGCCGTCTTGGGGGCCTCTCTGGGCCGTTTTGTGGCCATTTTGGGGTGCTCCAGGGAGGCCATCTTGGGCGTCTTGGTGGCCTCTCGGGCCGTCTTGGGGGCATCTTGGGGCAGTCTTGGGGGCCTCGACCTCTTGAGCGATCTTTGGGGACTCTCGGACCGTCGCGGGCCGTCGGAAGGCCGAGCAAAAAGCAAATGTCACAATCCTGCAAACACCTAAGGATAATCACTGATTTGTGCCTCCTCAGGCCTTCCTGGAGGACCTCTTGGAGGCCTCTTGGGCCGTATTGGCGGCCTCTTGGGGGCTTCTTGGGCCGTCTTGGTGTGTTCCTGGCCCGTCTGACGCCGTCGGAAGCCGTTAGGGGGGCCTCTCTGGGCCGACTTGGGCCCTCTTGGAATGCTCCAGGGCCGTCGTGGAGGCCATCTTGGACGTCTTGGAGGCCTCCTGGGCCGTCTTGGGGGCCTCTTGGGGCTGTCTTGGGGACCTGTTGGGCCGTTGTGGGGCCATCTTGGAGGCCTCTTGGGCGATCTTTGGGCGATCTTTGGGGGCTCTTGGGCCGTCTCGGGCCGTCGGAAGGCCGAAAAGAAGCAAATGTCAACATCCTTCAAGAACCTATGGAACATCAATGTTTTTGGCCTCTTCTGGCCTTCCTGGAGGCCCTCTTGGAGGGCTCTTGGGCCGTCTTGGGCCAGCTTCGAGCCAGTTTCGGCCATCTTGCTGGGCTCCTGGCCTGTCTGACACCGTCGGAAGCCGTCTTGGGGGCCTCTCTGGGCCGACTTGGGGCCCTCTTGGGGTGCTCCAGGGCCGTCTTGGAGGCCATCTTGGGCGTCTTGGAGGCCTCTTGGACCGTCTTTGGGCCGTCTTGGGGACCTGTTGGGCCGTCATGGAGCCATCTTTGAGGCCTCTTGGGCGATCTTGGGCCGACCTTGAGGGCGTCTTGGCCCGTCTTGGGCCGACGGAAAGCCCAAAAGGAGCCAATGCCAAAATCCTTCGAAAACATTAGGAAAATCCATAATTTGTCCTTCTTCGGGCAGTCCTGGAGGACCTCGTGGAGGCCTCTTGGGCCGTATGGGCGACATCTGATGGGCCTCTTGGGTCATCTTGAGGCTATCTTAGGCCGTCTCGGGTGCATATTGGGCCGTCTTCGAGGCATTTTGAGGCCATCTGAGCCGTCTTGGAGGCCGTCTTGGGCGATCTTGGAGGCCATCTTGGGCCGTCTGGGAGCCGTCTGGAGCAGGAAAAACACTTTGGAACCGGGGAACCGGGTCTGAAAGATCCTTCCGGGACCCCAGCGGAACGCGCTGGAGCCCCAGAGGGAGTTCTTTTGGAAAAACAACTCAAACCAAATCCGAGAGGGTTCAGCACGCCAGGCACCCCTGCGATGAATCGACAGGGGGCGGCGGATCCAGCGGCATGCGGCAAGTCCCGCCACCGTGCCATCTCAGTTCTCTGTAGTAGCGATTGCGCAAGGAGCGCACATGAAGCAACCACATGTGACACTTCGTGTCCCAAGGCTTAGGGAAGCCGTGCAATCCCACGCCCTTCCACGCCGTTTCGGGGCGACTCTTCTAGTGTTTATCGTCGTGCTTATCCTTACTCTTCTTCCCTCCTCTCTTGGGGTCTCTTGGGAACGTCATGGACGCGGCGTTTCGGGGGCCTTCTCGGGACATCCTGGGGGCTCCTTAGGAGGTCGTCTTAGGGCATTATTGGGCAGGCTGGCGCCTTCGGAGTAATCCCGGGGGCCTCCCTGGGCCATCTTGGTGCCTTTTGGGGTAGTCATTGGACCGCAATGGAGGCCTCCCAGGACGCCTTCAGCCGCCGACACCCGAAACGATTAGAACGTGGAAATTTGCCGAGTAGAAACGTCAATGTATGATGGTATGTGATTCTGGCTTTGCTGGGGTCCTCGTGCTTAGAGCCATCTTGCGCTGTCATGAGGGCCTCTTGGGCCGTCTCGAGGTCGTCTGGGCCGCATCGGAGTCATCGTAGGCTATGTTGGCGGTCTCGGCGGCCTGACCGGGCCGCATTGGGGGCCACAGTTGAAACTTGGGGCGCATCGGAGAGCCCCGAAGAGGTGTCAGGCCGCCCAGGGACCCTCAGGGGGGGGGGGGGCGGCCATGCGCGCGAGTAGAAGTGTGACGAGCGGGGGTCCGCCCCTTCGAATGTCACAGAGACCCTACCTCCAGACAGCACTTGACGTTCCACCCCCCCCTCAGCGTGCCAGGGGGAACGGTGGCGGATAATTAAGTGGTTCCTCCACACTTGTCGGCAGGGCGGGTCGGGCGTTCCCGATTCCGCGGCCCCGAGCGGGCAGCGCAAGAGACGCGTGCGTCGACAGCCGTGGATTGCAGATGAGAACAGGCACCCCAAGCGAGTGTTGGAATGTTCTCCTTTTGTGTGGTGAACCTGAATTTGCTGCCACCCGACAGGTGGCAGTCGGCAGTGCCGGATCATTGTGTTTCTTGAGTTGTTCTTGTCCTCCTCCTCCTCCTTTTCCCCCTCATCCCCAATGGAGTCAGCGCGCCCGACCGCTTGCGGATTGCACGATTACTGGGCCACTGGCAGACAAAGCGAAGCGGGGAAGACTCGCCATTCATTGCAACACGGGCACTGCTCACGTGCCTGCTGGACACCACATGTTTCTGTTCACGACGACGACGCGGCGACTTCAGCAGCGACGAACTCGCCGCCGCGGGAGGCCGCGACGCAGCCCGCCGCAGCGGAGGAGCAGGCGTGCCAGGGCCGCTCCTCCTCCATCAGGAGGAGGAGGAGGAGGAGGAGGAGGAGGAGGAGGAGGAGGAGGGGGACGAGGCGGAGGCAGGGGGCTTCGACCATTTGTGGTGACGCGGTCGCAGCCTCGAGCTTCGAGGAGGAGGAGGAGGATCGAGAGTCGTGCTCATCAGGAGGCCTTCTGGGACTTCCAGAGGCCTCCTGGGGCCTCTGAGACCTTCGGAGAGCTCTGGGGGAGGAGGAGGAGGAGGAGGAGGAGGAGGAGGAGGAGGAGGAGGAGGAGGAGGAGGAGGAGGAGGAGGAGTTACTTATCACCCCCAAGGTGGCGGCCGACCCCGCAGTGGCCATCTCCAGGGCCTGCGCCGCTGGAGCAGCGAGGGCAAGGGTTGCAAGAGCAGCGGCCGCGGGAGGCGCCGCGGCATCAGCCGCCAGAGCCCCGCAGCAGCGGGGGCCACAGACGCCATGGCAGCACCCAACAGACGGGGAGTGGCGCAGGGATGAGTGGCGCGGCAAATCGTGGGACTGGTGGCGCACCAGGGAGGGCGAGGAGCGCGAGTGGCAACAGCCGAGCGGCGAGGCTTCCTCGGTGCAGGACCGCAGGGTCGACTCCGCCTGGCGCGACATGCAAGTTGCATTCGGCAGCGACCCGCGCCCCAGTGACTGGTGGAGCAGCCACAGTGGGTGGAGTGGCGGCCAGGGGCACTGGGAGGCCACGACCACGACACTCTGGAGGTGGGTCGAACACCCCCCCGAGACCAATCCCTGGGAAGAACTTAGCTGAACCATCGCACAGGGGCCGCCCCTCCGCAGCAGCGGAGGGAGGCCTCATAGCGGAGGCCTTGCCAGTGCATCGCGGGCGGCGGCGAGTCGCGCGCGCCGTCGTGCTCGGCGACCGCTGCCCGAGCGGAGAAGGAAAAAGAAACGGTGCTTTCATCGGTGCTGTCGTTGCCTCCTCTCCTTCATCGTTTTCTTCTCCCTCCCCCTCCAATCCCCCATCCCGCCATCGCATTTTATCGTCTCCAATCGTATCGGGAGCTCCCGCGGCAGAAGGGCACCCGGAACGAGGTCCTCCGTGACAGAGGGGGGGCATCTGAGGGCCCCTCTGTGACAGAGGGGGGGCCAAAAAACAAATGATCACCTGAATGCGGCTTCTGGATTACGCTGTCTTGATCATGCGGGGGGGCTGTTCTTGGCCACCTCGGGCCTTCCCAGTCCTGCTGCATCGTGCTCGTCGAGGGCGGGGGGGGCGGAGGGACGCAGACATCCGAGCCAGGGGCCCCCGAACGTCTGGACCCCTCCCTGGGGCCTCAACGAAGAAAAAGTACGTAAGCATAAATGTTCGACGCTCCGCGCAGATTTCCTGGATCGCCGCTGGAGCCTCCTGGCGGCTCCTTTTGCGCCGCCCCTGGCGCGCTCCGCGCGCCAGGGATAGTGTGTCCAGCGCCGATCCAAGAAACCCACAGAGACCTCCGGAAGTTCATGCTTATGTGTTGTTCCCAACCATCCTGTGGCCTGTGGTGTTGGGTCTTCGTTTTGAAGAGACGCTGCCGCGCGTCTCCTCCTCCTCCTCCTCCTCCTCCTCCTCCTCCTCCTCCTCCTCCTCCTCCCCCCCCTCCTCCTCCTCCTCCTCCTCCTCCTCCTCCTCCCCTCCCCCCCCCCCCCTCCCCCCCTCCTCCTCCTCTCCTCCTCCTCCTCCTCCTCCCTCCCCCTCCCCCCTCCTCCCTCCTCCTCCTCCTCCTCCTCCTCCTCCTCCTCCTCCTCCTCCTCCTCCTCCCTCCTCCTCCTCCTCCTCCCCTCCCCTCCTCCTCCCCCTCTCCTCCTCCTCCTCCTCCTCCTCCTCCCTCCTCCTCCTCCTCTCCCTCGCGACCTTGGCCCCATTAGGAGCTCCACCGAAGGCCCCAGTGGGGGTGGCCGCATGCGTCCCACATTCAGGACAGCGCTTCGTGGCCCCATATGGAGCGCCACCGAAGGCCCCAGTGGGGGTGGCCGCATGCGGTTCCCACGCCCAGGACAGCGTCTCGTGGCATCATGGGGAGCTCCACCGAAAGCCTCAGTGGGGGTGGCCGCGTGCGTCTCCCACGCCCAGGACAGCGCTGCGTGGCCCCATTAGGAGCTCCACCGAAGGCCCCAGTGGGGGTGGCCGCATGCGCTTCCCACACTCAGGACAGCGCTTCGTGGCCTCATAGGAAGCTCCACCGAAGGCCCCAGTGGGGGTGGCCGCATGCGTCTCCCACGCCTCGGAGAGCGCTTCGTGGTCCCATAGGGAGCTCCACCGAAGGTCCCAGGGGGGGAGCTGCATGCGTCTCCCACGCCCAGGACAGCGCTTCGTGGCATCATAGGGAGCTCCACCGAGGGCCCCAGTGGCGGTGTCCACGTGCGTCTCTCCCACCAGCACAGCGTTTCACGCGGTTCGCGGCCATCGTAGGGAACACCACCGAGGACAATATTCACAATTGCGGTAGTCTCAGCTGCATATGGTTGGGTCCTTCGCCAGGCTAATTCCTTTAGATCATGGCGTCTCAATTTCTTCGAGTGCAGGTCCCAGAAATGCTCGCGGAGTTCCGAAACTTTATGTAATGCAGTCAGTTGTTTCTCAGGGGCCGTGCGGAGATCCGCAGGTTTAAGTTTATGCATGGCCAGCGTGTCGCCCCGAGTTGTTTTTGTCGAGGGCCCAGGGCCAGGAGCCGAGGAGCCCAGGAGTGCAGGAAGAACACGATTTTCAGGAGAAGTCCATGGGCCGAACGCATCGGCCACCACGCCTTGTTCTCAGAAGCGACGGCAGACGGGCCGCCGATGTGTTGTTCGAGCCGCCGGACGCCTGCCGAGCGAGCCGGCTCTGCTCGAGGGCTCCGCCGCGCGCCTGCAGCCGGCATAGCTGGGTGTTGCCAGAGGTGGTTCTGGCCGCCACGGTGTCCTTCTCGCGCCAGCTGGAGCCCGGCCACTGGGGCATCCTTTGTTCGGGCGTTGCGCATGGGGGGGTGAAGGAGAGTGCACCTTCTGTGCCCTCGAGGGGCCACCTGGTACCCGAGAGGGGCACGCACGGGGCACGATGGGGCACGCTTCTCCCCCCCAATGAGAATTGCCCTCCCGTTCAGCAACGTTCGACTTGGAATTTTGGGGACACCTTGTGCCAGAGATATCTTCGGCAGCACTTGGCGCAACGCAAGGCGCCGGGGAACAAATAGTGGCATGAACTTTCGGAGGTCCGCGCGGATTTCTTGGATCCGCACTGGGACCCCCTGGCGCGCTCCGCTCGCCAGAGAGGTGGGGCCAGCGCCGATCCAAGAAATCCGCGCGGACCTCCGAACGCTTATCTTAGCATCGCTCGGACGTGTGCATCCGGTCTCGGCGAGGAGCATCTTGGACCATCCTGCGAAAACAAAGCAACACGCACGACACCGACAAACGCACTGCGAATGGACTTCCGAGCAAGTGCAAGTCTCTGTTTCTGTCATCATCACGCGCGGCGCGTGACCCGTCCCCCCGAGCGGCTCGCTTCTTCCGACCCCTCTTTCGGCCGCGCCCTCCTCCTCCTCCTCCTCTTCCTCCTCCTCTTCCTCCTCCTCCTCCTCCTCCTCCTCCTCCTCCTCCTGCAGGTGGCACGAATCGCCATAACGGCATCCCCGTTTAGGCCATTTCGCTAGCGCAACCCTCCCTTGTTTCGCCGCCGACGCAGGAGTTCATGCCACTATTCTTCCCCGGAGGGGGGAGCCGCGATGCCGCCGCCAGCGGCAGCGGCGCCCGGCGGCCTCGCGGGGCGTGCCCCCGCGGCGCCGCGGCCGTGCGCAGCCCCCGCGCGCGCGCGCGGGCGGCTGGGCGCAGCCTCTGGCGGCGCCGCCGCGGGCGCCAGGCTGCCCTCGCGGTGGGCGCCGCTGCCCTCCCTCCAGGGGGGGGGCCACACGGCGGCGTCGCTGTCGGGCCTCGGCTCTTCGCTCCGTCGCTGTCCCTCCGCCGTGGCGTCTTTGCTCGGGCCCTCGCTCGTTCGCCTTTTCGAGCCCCCGTTCGGCCCTGTTGCCGGCTTGACTCCTGGCCCACGCCCCCCCAAAAGCAGAAGTACCCTGGAGAGGGGGCCTCGGGGCCCACCTCGGGGCGCCCAACGGCTGCGTCTTGGCGCCAACCGTGGCAGCAACCGTGGCCGCTGCGACACCTCACTGGGGGTACGCCGTCATGGGGGTACGTCTGGCCTTCCCAAGCTGTTCCCTGGGCTTGGAGCCGCCTGGGAGCCAGCAGGAAGGTGGGAGACGAGGTTCGAGGCGCTGAGTTCGGGAAGGTGTTCTGCCTTTTTCGGCCTCTGGGGGCCGTTTGCGGTCCCCAGAATCGTGGAAAACGGATTTGGGGTGAAAAATTGCATCAGGTGGACCCTGGGGGGGGGTCCGGAGAGGTCCGAAAATTCATGGATCGTAAATCCCCCGCGGCGGATCCTTGGCAATTTGCGTGTAGTTCCTTTGCGAAATGTGGGACGCGTTTGTCTCTTGGTTCGGGGCCGTTTGGGGGTCCCAGGTGGCCCAGGACTGATGGCCCGAACCAGCATGAAGGGGGGGAACAGGTTCGAGGTGTTTCTGCCTTGTTCGGTATCCAGGGGCCGTTTGCGAGCTCCGGGACCGTGGAAAACGGATCGGGCAAGTTATTCCAGATGAGATTCTGCCGAATGTAAATTGCGTTGTTCATGAAACTACCAGAAACAATCGGGGTGACAAATTGCAACAGTCGAGTAGGGGATCGATTACATAATCGTTTTACCAAAGCATTGATTTCCTTGTCGACGCCATGAAAAATCGTAGACCGTTCGTAGATCGACGTCGCATTCTACGTATTGTTCGTGGGCTCGATGAGAAATATAAGTTTGAAGTGAACTGATTCTGTAGTTGATTCAGATGAACTGCGGGAGGGGTCCAGGGATCGATTCTCAGCGGATTTGCTTGCATCAGTGGGCACCTTCGAGGTTCGGGGGGAGGTTTTGCGCGTTTCACTCTTCGCAAAGTACATAATTTTGCTCGCAAGCGTCCGAAAGCACATGTGTGCCTCGATGTAATGGATGGAATTCCCCGCGGCGCATCCAGGTTATTTGCGAGTAGTTCCTCTGCGAGTGGTGGAACGAGCTTGTCTATTTCCTGGTACGGTCGGTTCGTGTCGTGTCGACGCGGCTGCGACCCCAGCGCGGGCGTTCAAGGTTGAACGCCGCCAGTGGCCCAGAATCGGCCAACGGATGCAACGATCTGACGATCGAAACGCCATCGATCCTTCAAGGTTGAACGATCCACGCGCTGGCGGAGACCAACGCCGGGGTCGTCACGGCGCGAACTTTGCCGTATGTTTTCGACTGGTTTCGGACATGTCCTGCAGTTGTTCGCGAGGTTTCGAAACCCACGGTGGTCTCCCTTCGTCGAGGGCCTTCTCGGGCCACCGAGATCATCACGTACGGCAGCTTGAGGCCCGAGTTGTGGCCCCGAAAACCGATATGCCCGAGGCAATGTTGGGTGGGATAGACTCAGGGGCGGATGCATCGACCCCCAATCGCCCACTGATCGCCGAAGAGGGCCTGATTGCCCACCCCGCCAAATGACGTGCGGTTTCCCTTTCGGGGGGCATATCGCCGATCGCCGATGTGCGCATCAAGAGTGTCTCGCCGATTCTGGATCGATGTTTCCCCCTGAGACGGTCCCCCTTTACAGTTCTCTTTCAAGCTTGGAGCATTTCTCGTGCCTGCAGGGGGCCACTTCGGGGCGGGGTCGGGGTCTGCCGATTCTGCGCCCCTTGCCGATCCTGGTTGGGCCAGTCTTGGTCCCAGGATAGGTGCAATAGCGGGCTGGCTTTCCCGGCTGGGTTGGCCAGGATCGGTGCAGTCACACGCGTTCTTGGTGCTGGCCGGCCAGAAGCGGTGCTGTCCTGCGGATAGCCGGCGTCCTGTGGTCGGAGGGGAGAGCTTTTCTCCCAGCTTCTCGATCGGTGTCCTCGCGCACGCGCTGAGGCTCGGGGCCAGAAGTCTTCGCGCAGGGCTCGAGAAGGGGGGGGCCGCGCAGCCGGAGTCGCAGCTTGAGACTCTTCGGTGTTGTCTTCATTTGTCTCTTCTTGTCCCCCCTCTTCCCTCGAGTTCATCCTCCGCCTCATCTTCGTCCTGTATGCCTCCACCACTCGTCTTGCCTCTTTCTCCTCTCCTCTCCCTCTGGTCCCCTCACTTGGGCCCTCCTGAATCCTTCCTGGAGCTCTCTCGAGGACCTCTTAGGCCAGCTGGGGACTCTCTTTGGGCCTATTGTGGAGTCTCTGGGCCTTCCTAGGACTCTGTCGAGGCCCTCTTGGGACCACCGCGGGGCCTGAGAAGCCCAGTGGATCCTGCAGAAGCAGGCGTGCAACAAAAACAGCCACAACAGCCGTATGTGTTTTGTGCTCCAGGCTGTCGTAGGGTCGTAGGGCCTCCGAAGGAGGCATGTTCGAACATCTAGGGCTACATGTGTAGTCTACTGAGCTACAATCTTGGTGCGCCCTGGGTCAACTTGCGGCCTGCTCACATTCTCGCGCCGAGTGGCCAGCGCTCTCGGGCCGCTCTTGGACCCTCCTTGTAATTCATTGAGGTTCTCTGGGAAACCGCCTGGGGCGTCTTAGGGCTCTCTTGGGGTCCTCTTTAGACCACCGCTGGCCCAAGAAGTCAATCGAATCCCGCAGAGGCGAGGCGTCCCAAAACAGGACAACACACACTTTTTCTTTGACTCTTCTTGCCTTGGGGGCCTCCCAGCGGGGCATATTCGGCCATCAAGGACCACGGTTGCAGTCCAGGGGGTTGTCTCGGACCATCCTGGGCCACTTCGACACCATCCTGTGGCATCTTAAGTACAGTCAACCCGCATAGGAAGGATGAGCCCATGCATCCTTCTCCTTCGGCCCATCCTTGGCCGATTTCGCTGGCCGCGCCCTGCGCGCAGAGTGTCGAGATATGGCCTTCCAAGGCCCTCGCAGCCTTATCGCGCTTCCTTCTTGTACTGGTTGACTGTATGGCAATCGCAGGGCCATCTCAAGGAGTGGCGCCGGCCAAACAACTTTTTTTTTGAGGCTCAAGACTTTTGCCTGTCAGAGCCAGGGAGCGCCGAGGGGGGGCGGGCAGTTTGACTGAAAACTACAGTTGGCATTGGTGGGGGGTTCTATGGTGCAGATTTTGCTAGACATGCGAGTTCATCAACGCTCCCGATCGATGTCTCCTCATTCTTTGATCAGGACTGGTGCTCTCGCGTTGGCGCCGGCTCTTTGCAAGCTCTCGTCCGTAAATGTGTTGCACATTGTGTTAGTCGTGGAAGTGTCTTCCAGAGGTTCTGGCTGCCCCACAGGCCTTGAATCCTCTCCGAGACAGTGTGGAGATTATCCCAAGGGTTGTAGGTCTTTTCCAGAGCCTACGGCTTCTCCCAGACGCCTTGAGGCGTCTCCCAGAGGCCCCGAAGCTTTTTCCAGAGTCTCAGCTTCTCCCGGAGGCTTTGGGGCCTCGCCCAGAGCCTCTGACCTTTCTCCCAGCAGAGGCCATGAGGCCTGCATGCCTACCCCAGAAGTCTCAAGCTTCTCCCGCGCTGTGGCACTCAGGAGCAGAGATAAAGCAGGGCGACCGCGACGGCGATGTGCCATCTGAGCTGAAAGTTGCCAAGTACCGCGGGCGAGACGTTGGGGAGATCTCCTCGGGGAATGTAGGGCCCCAAAGGATGATACAATGCCCCCATGATGGCGGAGCTAGTTAAAATGATTGATGCAGATCGCATACAGAAAACATCGAGAACCGCATGTTGTTGTGAGGCAGTTGTTGTCCCGACACCGCCCGATCCGCATGTCTTGTGCAGGGTCCTTGCTTTGGCCGACCGTCGGTTTGTGTCTACCCGCGTGCTCGCCTGTCTTAGTCCGCCCGCCCCGGCAGGGACAGGTAAGCTGAAGTCGGACATGTCCCTTGACAGGAGGAAAACTCAAGAATAGAAAGCAAATAGTCTGGCGGCGATGTTTGATTATTGTTGTCTTTGAACATGTGTTGACTATATTTGTTTGGCAGACTCCGCCTGTAGGAGGTAATGGAGGTAATGCCAGACCAAAGGTAAGCCCTTGGGAAGTGTGGGCACGACTCGAGACGAAGAGGGGCAGAAGTCGATGGCTCGAAGTTCGTGGCTAAGCGCCAATGGGGGGAGGCAAGAGCAAGCAGTGCTGAGATATGAGGGTTTCAGATGTTTCAGGGAACGGGTGAGCTTTTCTGGCTACGGTGAGCCTCAGCAACGAACAGGTCCCCCGACCTAGACTGAAGGAGCGGCTACAAAACAGGAGCCCCTCCTAAACCCAGAGTAGCTCTTATTTTAGAGCCTTGACTGCAACATCAGAAGAACAGAAGAGAAAACGCCGTAAACATTTTTTCTCGGCTCCGCGCGGATTTCTTGGATACGTGCTGGGGCCCACCCGGCAGCGCCTCCGGCGCCGCCCGTGGCGCGCGGAGCGCGCCAGGGAGGGGGGCTCTAGCGCGGAGCCGAGAAATCCGCGCGGAGCACCAACAGTTTATGTTTATGGCGTTCCTTCTCCTTCTATAGAACTTTTCCTGACATGAGAGGGAAGCGCGTGAAAGGGAAGAGCTGCGCAAGAACTTGCAGCATCATCGTGATCAAATGTGATATAGGCGAGCTCTCCGAACGCTCACAAAGGATACGTATGGACACGCGCCCCCAGAACGTTTACAAGCATCTTCCCGGTTATCCCCCTCATTCCTCCGCATGAGGAGGACGATGGCGAAAACGACAATCGTGGGAGGAGGGGGAGGAGGATGAGGAGGAGAAGGAGGAGAAGGAGGAGGGGGAGAAGGAGGAGGAGGAGGAGGAGGACCAGCAGCAGCAGCAGCAAGAGCAGGAACAGAGGGTGAGGAGAGGACGGAGAGGAGGTCGAGGAAGAGGAGAAACAGGAGCAGGAGGAGGAGGAAGACGAGGCGGAGGGGGAGGAAAGAGAAGGAGGAAGGACGAGAGGAGGAGGAGGAGGAGTAGGAGGAGGAGAAGGAAGAGGAGGAGGAGGAAGAGGAGGAGGAGAAGCAAGAACAGGAGGAGGAAGAGGAGGAGAAGGAGGAGGAGGAGAAGGAGAAGGAGAAGGAGAAGGAGGAAGAGGAGGAGGAGGAGCAGGAGGAAAAGGAGGAGGAGGAGGAGACCAGATGGCTTCGAGGGCCCGTTCGAAGGCATGTTGTAAGGGATGTCTCGAGAGAAACGCTGATGTTTGTCAACGTGCATGTTAAAAACACGTAGGTTCTTCAATAGTTTCGCTTCTTGGGCCATCTTGGGGGTCGTCCGAGATCGCTCCGAAAAGATGCCTTACAAGAGCTGCGTCGACATCCCATGTTTTTCGAGAATGTCTCTGGCGAAACGCCCATTTTCGAGGATCCGAAAATTTGGCGAGCAATTTCAAGATCTCCATGTTTGGAGGATGTCTCGAGCGAAACGCCCATGTTTAGCAACATACGTCTTAAGGCACGACCCCCAACGTCACGATGTTGTGAGGATGTCTCGAGCGAAACGCTCATTTGGGGAACCTTTCCTGACATTAGAGGGAAGCGCGTGAAAGGGAAGAGTTGCGCAAGAACTTGCAGCATCATCGTGATCAAATGTGATATAGGCGAGCTCTCCGAATGCTCACAAAGGATACGCATGGACACGCGCCCCCCGAACGTTTACAAGCATCTTCCTGGTTATCCTCTTCACTCCTCCGCGTGAGGAGGACGACGGCGAAAACGACAATCGTGGGAGGAGGGCGAGGAGGAGGAGGAGGAGGAGGAGGAGGAGGAGGAGGAGGAGGAGGAGGAGGAGGAGGAGGAGGAGGAGGAGGAGGAGGAGGAGGAGGAGGAGGAGGAGGAGGAGGAGGAGGAGGAGGAGGAGGAGAGGAGGAGGAGGAGGAGGAGGAGGAGGAGGAGGAGGAGGAGGGAGGAGGAGGAGGAGGAGGAGGAGGAGGAGGAGGAGGAGGAGGAGGAGGAGGAGGAGGAGGAGGAGGAGGAGGAGGAGGAGGAGGGAGGAGGAGGAGGAGGAGGAAGGAGAGGAGAGGAGGAGGAGGAGGAGGAGGAGGAGGAGAGGAGGAGGAGGGAGGAGGCAGCAAGCAGAGGGGCGAGGAGGGGACGGAGAGGAGGACGAGGAAGAGGAGGAACAGGAGCAGGAGGAGGAGGAAGACGAGGCGGGAGGAAAAAGGAGGAGGAGAAGGAGGAGGAGGAGGAGGAGGAGGAGGAGGAGGAGGTAGAGAAGCAAGAACAGGAGGAGGAAGAGGAGGAAAAGGAGGAGGAGGAGAAGGAGAAGGAGAAGGATATGGAGGAAGAGGAGGGGGAGCAGGAGGAAGAGGAGGAGGAGGAGGAGGAGAAGGAGGAGGAGGAGGAGGAGGAGACCAGATGGCTTCGAGGGCCCGTTCGAAGGCATTCTGCAAGGGATGTCTCGAGTGAAACGCTGATGTTTCAACGAAACTGATGTTAAAAACACGTGGGTTTTCAATGTTGTCGCTTCTTGGGCCATCTTGGAGGTCATCCGAGATCGCTCCGAAAAGATGCCTTACAAGAGCTCTGTCGGCATCCCATGTTTTCGAGGATGTCTCTGGCGAAACGCCCATTTTCGAAGATCCGAAAATTAGGCGAGCGATTTCGAGATTCCGATGTTTGGAGGATGTCTCGAGCGAGACGCCCATGTTTATTAGCAAACGACTTCTTAAGATACGACCCCCAACTTCACAATGTTGTGAGGATGTCTCGAGCGAAACGCTCATTTTAGGAGTCCGCCAGGTCCTGCACCACGAGGCAGCGCCGCGCGTTCCCCCCCCCCAGACCCCTCCCAGTTGATACTGCCTCTGGCCGGGAGAACGTCCATCGCGCGACTCTTCGAGTCTTAGCGCGCTTCCCGTCATTCGCCAGGTCCTGCGCCCCGAGGCGGCCCCGCGCGTTCCCCCCTCCAGACCTCCCCCAGTTGATAAAACCCCTCTGGGCACACAGACGTCCATCGCGCGACTCTTCGAGTCTTAGCGCGCTTCCCGTCATAAGGACTTGCTCTGGGTTCAGGAGGGGCTCCGGTCTTCGAGCCGCTCTGTAAGCCTAGGTCGAGGGACCCGTTCGTTGCCGAGGCTCGCTGCGGCCAGAAGAGGTTTCTCGCTCCTGCATGCGAATGCCTCACGGCCAGCGCCGCCAACCCTGAAAGCGACCCCTCACGGAACCCGCGGGGACCCCATGGGCGGGCGTTATTTCGACCCGGGATTCCCAACCCCCTTCAGGATCCCCCCCAGGACGCCCCCACCCCGGCAAGGAAGGGACAAACGGACGGCAATCGACTTGACTACGACGTTCACGTTCCTTGTTCCTCGTTCCTCAATGTTCTTGGGACTGACGACGACGACGACGACGACACAAGGCGACGACGGCGACAGCGTCGTGTACACGCCGACGGGTCGGTGGATTTAGCGTTGCTTTTCTCATACGACGACTGCACATTGCTCCTGCCCCAGGAGAAACCAGCAGGTACCGATACCGCTACTCCCCAGACCTCTCTTGGTCTTGGGGTGCGTTCTGACCAGAATTTCGAGGCGAATCCAGCATTGGCGACGAGGGCCTCCCGGAAGGCCCAAAAGGGGAAGACGAGGCGAGGGCAGCAGTATTGGTGCCTCCTCCGAGCCCCCTCGCCTTTCTGCCTCCTCGGCAGGTGGGCGCCAGGCGCCGTCGCGGGCGCGGCGCAGTCTTTGGCCTCGGCGTTGCCGTTGGCGGCCGCGCTGCCATTGGCCGCGGGCCCAGCAGATCCGCAGCGGCTCCTCCATTCAGTATCGTTTAACCGATCCCCATCCCCATCCCCTTCGAGACCCCCACCAAATTGCCCCTCCAGTTGGGGATACACCCCTCGAAGCCGAAGTGAACGACCTGTATCCCCATCTAGGGGGGTAAATCGGCCAGTGGAGCCCAGGCCACGCCGTTGGGGATGGGGATCGGTTAAACAATACTCACCAGCAGATCCGCAGCGGCTCCTCCATCCCTCCCTGCCGTGTTACTCTTTCTGGGCCTCCCAGAGGAGGTCCGAGCAGGTGGGGCCGGAGGATCGCGCAGCATCGCCTATGCATCGGCGATGCGGCTGGATGTGAGGCCCGATTTCGTACACGCCGACGTCGCGGATGCGTCGCCGATGGCGCCGATGCATCACCGATGCATCGTTGATGCATTGGCACGCGATCTTCCGACCCCATCTATTCGGACCCCATCTGTGAGGCCTCTATACTTGTGGAACTTGGGGAACAAACAATGACATAACCGTAAGAACTCGGAGGTCCGCGCGGATTCCTCGGATCGGCGTTGGGCCACCCCGGCGGCGCCTCCGGCGACGCCCCTGGCGCGTTCCACGCGCCAGGGAGGGGGAGTCCCGCGCGATCCGAGAAATCCGCGGGGACCTCCGAGCTGTTATTTTTATGTCCTTGTTCGTTCCCCTATGTATGTGTTGCACTTGTGGAACAACTGGTCGCTGCTTGGAACCAGGCAGAACATGAAGCTGAAGACGAACAACGTTTGAATCGAGTCGATCATGAAGTGAGACCTCTCGGCCAGCTTCGGAGACGCACTATCTTCGCGCCCGCAACATACGCATGGTCCTGCTCCACCTTCTGTTCCTCCCCACGCCCATCCGGGGCGCCGCATCCGTCGCAGGCTCGCAAAGTGTGGTTGGCGTGGCACATTCTCTACACCGCAGATGGTGCGCAGGGCGCAGTTGTCGTGGCCGTCGCGCGCTCGCAAACAGTAGATTTTACGTAGAAGAAGAGCGCACCGCCGCGCCATCGCCAAAGAAGCGCAGTGCTGAAATTAATCTGACCAGGGCGGAGTGGGAGTGAGAAACAAACGGAAAAGGGAGGAGGGAATCATGGATGAGGTTCACGCACTGCTGCACTGCAAGCGTTCAGATCTTGCGTAGAGGATGTCAAGATGAATGGCACTATGCGCGATTGTTCGGGCAAGCAGGATGCGACACAGGTCATGAACACACTCGACATCAGACGAGTATGTGGGGTCCTCGCTAGCGTAATGCAGTCGTTGCTGCATCCACACTTTGTCTGCACCGCTTCTCGATCCTTGGCGGACGTCGGCGCGACAGCCCCGCGCCGCCGCGGCCTGACCGCTGCGCGCGCCATCCGCCCGCCGCCGAGCCCAGAGGCCCCAACGACGTTGGTCCAATCGACCTGCGGAGAAGAAGCCAGATAGTCAGGTGAATCCAGACAAATCTGAGTAGATCCAGATACAATGATGTGAGTCCAGAAAAATCGATCAGCGGCGAGCGAGTGGGCGAGGTGGGAGGGAGAAGGCCTGCTCAGAAGGCGGCGAGACTTCTCAGAAGCTCTCGCGCATTCTGAGAAGTTTTCTGCGTCCTCGGGGCAGGCTTGGAACACTTCTCAGAAGGCCTGGGGACTTCCGAGCCTCCTGAGAAGGCCCGCCCCGTCTCACTTCCCCCCTCACTTGCCGCCGAATCTAGACAAGTCCAGGGGAATCCTGGAGCAGATCGTAGACTCTCCAGCGCGAGTCGATGGGCAGCATGTGTTGTGAGGCCCTTGACGCCCTCCGAGGCGGCGCGGAGGGGGCACTGCCGAAGGGCAAAACGGGTCCTGGTGACCCCGGGCCGCGTTAGTTTGGGTCGTTCCTGGGGAGAGAGCACATCCCAGGCCGTGTTGGTGCCCTCGGAGGCCGTCTTGGAGCCGTCGTTCGTCCGTCGTTCTAGTTGTCGCTATCGGTGTGGTCGTTGTCGTTGATCATTGATCGTTGTCGTTATGGTTGTGATCTTTGTCGTTGTCGTTGTCATCATCGTGAGGCCCCTGACGCTCCCCGAGGCGGCGCGGAGGCGGCACGGCCGGAGGCGGCGGCGCTCGGCGAGGTGCCTGGTGAGCGGGGCCGCGCTGGCCGCTGCGGCGCCGGCCGTGGGCGAGAAGGCGCCGGCCGCCGGAGGACTCGGCAGTTGCGGGGCCCGAGATTCTGGTTGATCGGGGGTGGACATCAGTACCATTTATCCCATCCCCATCCCCATCCCCTTCGAGACCCTCACCAAATTACCACCCCTGTTGGGGATACACCCCTCGAAGCCCGAAGGGAACAACCTGTATTCCCATCTACGGGGGTAAATCAGCCACTGGGGCCCAGGCCACGCCGCTGGGGATGGGGATCGGTTAAACGATACTTAGGACAGACCCCCGCACCCTGACACGTCGATGAGTGAATCGTCCGTTTCCGGTTCCCGAGAGGGCGCCGCGGCCGTCATCTTCCAGGCTTGCGCCCGTCAGGTTTAGGCCTGAGGTCGTTTTCATTAAACCGCGTTTTACGAAGGGGGGTTCTGTCTATCCCCGAGTTGACCCAAAGGGGGGTGCAGCGACAAGAGGGTGGTGCAATAAATTTGCTGCAATCGAGTTGGGTGTGCAATGCATTCCAGAGCGCAAATGTACTGCAAGGTCTTCGCATGCAGCACACGAGTTGCAATACAATGCAATACATCTCTTCGGCGCAATACATTTGCAATACAACGGCCCCAGATCTATCGCACCACCCGCTTTCAGCTGGACCCCCTTTTGGGTCAGCCGAAGAGATCCGACGCTCCAAAAAATTGGAGCAGGCGGTTTTGGCCGTTTTCGGCCCTCGCTGGGCTTCGGGAGCGTCAAAAAACGACTCAGGACGAGAAACCGGCCCTGGAGAAGTGTTCTCTGGGGCCCACGCATCGCTGCGGGGGGGCCCACGCGCGTCGCTTCGTAGGACTAGCCCGCTGCGGGGGGTGTGGGGGCGTCCTCCCCGGGGGTCTGGGGGGGGCTCTGGTCGAAGAAGAAAAAACGGCATGAACTGAATTTTTTGGCGCTCCGCGCAGATTTCTTGATCTGCGCTGGTGCCCCTCTGGCGGCGCCTCCGGCGGCGCCCCAGGCGCGCTCCGCGCGCCAGGGAGGGGGGTCCGGCGCGGATCCAAGAAATCCGCGCGCAGCGCCAAAATTGCATGTTTACTTTTTTTTCATCTGGGGAGAGGAGTGGGGGGTCGAGGAGCTTCCTCCTCCTTCTTTTCTTCTCCTCGTCCTTCTCCTCCTCCTTCTCCTCCTCCTCGTTCCTTCTCCTCCTCCTCGTTCCTTCTCCTCCTCCGTTCCTTCTCCTCCTCCTCGTTCCTTCTCCTCCTCCTCCTCGTTCCTTCTCCTCCTCCTCCTCCTCCTCCTCCTCCTCCTCCTCCTCCTCCTCCTCCTCCTCTGTTCCCCTTCTGGTCCTCCACTAGGATGTCCGCCCAGTTATCCTGCCTTCCGTCCGAGCTTGTGTTACTTGACTCCCAGTCATGATCCATGTCTGTATTGTCCAGGAGGCCATGGCATGCCCCATCTTGTCGCAGCTAGGTCCGGACGATTGTCCGCAGTGGTGGCTCGTTCGTTCGTCCGTTCTTCGTTCGGGCGTTGCCTCTGGCCGTTCCCGCGGGAGTACGCAGACCTCGTCCGGACGGGGCTCGGCCGGCCCGTCGCCACGGCGCAAGAAGGCGCTGAGCCGACGCTCGCCACAAACAGGCGAGCAAAGACGTCGACTTTCCCACCCCTCCCGCCTGATAGATACCTCGCCCCGCACGCCATGGCTGGGAAGATTCGGGAAGGGCGGTTGGAAGAGCTGGTCGCGAGAGGGGTTCGGGCGGGCCCAGGACCAGGACAACTAGGTCCAGTAGGGGGCCACATGCGAACCCTACCCCTACCCCCCACGATTTCTGAGGGGGAGGGTGGGGTTCACTTCGTTCGGGAGCTCCCAAGCGAAGTGAACCCCACCCTACCTCTCAGAAATCGTCGGGGGCAGGGGCAGGGTTCGCATGTGGTCCCCTATCCAGGGCGTCCCAGAGCGCTCTCAGAGCGTCGGTGTAGCGGTCGGGAGCGGCCCCCGCGCCCGAGATGCGCCCCCCAGAACCGCCAGGTCTCGGAGGTGCCCGACCTGTCACGGTTCCGACTCTGTCGTGGTCCTGACTTCGTCTCGGGGGGGGGAGGAGGGGAGCAAGAAGGCAGGAGGGAAGGGGATGGGGGAGGGAGGCAGGGAAGGAAGGGGCTAGGGGGGTGGGGACGGCGGGGATGGGGAGTACCCCATTTTGAAGGCCTCCACGGGGCCAGCGAGGACCTGACCCATCCCGGGCGCTCTGGAGAGACAGGGGCACGATGTCTCGGCAGCGAGGACGTGCAACCGCCAGCGCAGGCCGCCCGTGGATGGAGAGGGTGGCAATGCCATGAACCCCTGGGTCGATGCTCAGTAGGCGCTCGTGCCGCTACACTTCAGGACATCCCTTCCCCCTCCCTCCCCCTCGTCCCCTGCCCCCCCTCCCCATTCCCCCTGCTGCCCTGCCTCGTCCATCCCCCTCCCGCTCCTCCTTCCACTCCTCCCTCCCTTCCTCTTGCCTCTCCTCCCTGTCTCCTCCCCTCCGCCCCTCTCCTCCTCTTCATACCCCGTCCTCCCTGCCTCCTCCCCTCCTCCCCCTCCTCTTCATATTCCCTCCGCTCCTCCTCCCATTCGCCCCCACCACTCCTCCTGTCCCTCCAACTTCAAGCGTGAGAAGGGGGAGGGCTGAAATGCGGGGGGGGGGTCAGATCAGTGGGCGCCACCCGTCAACCGCCTCTCCCACCCTTGGAAGGATCTCAGAGTTCATCTGCGACGTTCGTCGCGAAGCGGATCGACGATATAGTCATCTGCGTTTACAGCGCGAAAGAAGTATGGGAAGCCAGGAGGCGCAAGCAACAAGAGTGGACTAAGGACTCGTCGATGCTGGAGAACGATGACGAGTCCCTCCAAGACTTCACGCCAACAGTGGGTGACGTTGTACGTTTTTCTGGAGGCGCCCTCGGCTTCGTCATTGCTATAAACGACCTCTGCTTCACGGTGGCGCTGGAGGATCCGAAGGCCCTTGTCTCTGAGTAGGAAGAGGAGGATGGGGAGATTATGGAAGTATCTCAGAGGAAGACCAGGAACACATGTAGGGTCTGAGTGCTTCCGTCCCTGATGAGAAGGCTGTTGAGGAGGAGGAGGGGGCAAAGGGTGAAGTCGAGTAGGAGGATGATGGTGAGAAGCTGGAGAATCCGAAGGCCTCCGTCGCCGAGAAGGACAAGCTGGAGTTCATGTCCAAGGGGCTGCGCCCTGGCGCCAGGGTGCCCAAGACTGGCGGCGTGGTGGCCTCCCTCCCGCTATCCCACTTCACCCAGGGGGGGGGGGGGGACGGCAGGGGGAATTGACCCAGCGGCCTTTTCCAGCGACGGCGCGGCGGCGTCGATTCACTGCGTGAGTGCTCCGAGCGGTGTCTCAAGGGCGCAAAAAACGCCCCTACGCTTGTTTACGAGGCGCTGTGCGCTGAACCTCCTGTGGGCTGACAGGGTGAACCCGGCGTGATGTGCGGCGCCCTGGCGGCTGTGTAGGATTTGAGAGTTCCCAGGAGGTTTACAGATCACGCACTTATAGCCCAGGGTAGGGTCGTTTCTGTCATCCCTCAGTGTGACGAGTTCCAGCGGTCCAGTGCTAGCCCATGGAGCTGCCAGCTCTCTGTCGGGCCGCGGCTCGGTCGCCCAGGGAGGATTGGCCAAGAGGGGGCACGTCGCCCGCCATTTACCAAAGCGTCGCCGATTTTGGCCAGGGTAACCTTACGTCGGGCCTGTCCCTCTACGGGAGGAATAATCAAAAATAGAGAAAAATAGCCTGGGGACTATTTTTCGAGTATGTTTTGATTGTGTGTGGACATGGTCTGACTATCTTTTATTATTCGTCCAAAATCCGCCTGTAGGGGGACATGCCCGACCTCAGGGTAACCCCATCCTGTCCAGGACCGTGCGATTTAGCCGTCGGCCCTGTCACCGACCGACCCTCTTGCGAGAAGTCGCATATTCCAGGTCGACGGTTCCTCCCCTGAGCCAGCGCCCTTATTTCGCCCCCGTACTCCCCCCCGTGCCATTCCCTTCCGCACCTGGGCAAGTTGACGGCTCCATTGCGACTGCTTTACTTGCCTGGGCCCCAGAGAGAATCAGGACCGCGTCCCGCACCCAGAGCTCGATCAGAGCCTCAGCGCGGCGGCGTTGATGTCCCGGTTGGCCTTAGTCTATGGTTGGCCCGACTACATGGTAATGACAATGGGTACGTCCACCACCTTTGTCTCACCTTGCTGGTCATCAACAGTCCCGGACCCGAAATTCGGAGGGACGGTGGCACTTGATTTGCACGCGCGGTGTTATTACGCATGCAGGTTCGTATTGTTGGCGTCGGGGCGAGACACCCATTGACACGGCAGAATACGGTTCGAGAGTTTCGGCGGGAGGTCCACAGAGTACATATTGAATTGGGTTGCCGATTCTTCTGGGGACGGATAGGTGCATCTCACATTATTGCAACATGTGTTTTTGTTGTCCGAGTTGTCATCCCCATAAGTGTGTATAATTAAGGGCATTCTCCCCCCCAAATGTAGGGGTCGCCCCCCCGCTCCCGATGGGTCACCCCCGTGTGGCTGTGGTGAGGAGGGAGGAAAAGGGAGGAGGGCTCTTCGTATTGTTGAGAAGGGTCATCGTCTCTGTGGCTGTTAACAGTATCATTTGCAATTGATCTGAAGGTCGCCGTTTGCCACAAAGCATTACCAGCTCGACTACTTATCCAAAACGATTATATGAATTAGTGTATCAACCCCATTTCTCGCTGCATTCTGAATCAAGCGGCGAACCACTACATCACAACCAGTTTGTACCGTAGATCGCAGGTCCGAAAGGTGATTTGGTTTTAACACGTACGCCCGATGACACAATATCCCTGTGAACGCGGGCCGTCTGCGGCAGCGGTTCCGACGGAGACGAAACGACAGAGGACGATGCGTTCTTCTACCCCTAGAAGCCCAGCAAGACAGTCTTCTTGCGCTGTCTTGGTGGACTCCTGCGCGATCGGCTTATTCCCAGATTGCAGTTCCTGTCTAGCCAGCAACAATAACATACATCGTCATTAAATATGGTGGCGACAGGTTCTAGGGGTGTGTACATCCTCTCATCGTACGGTCGTCGTGAGATCACCTTTAGACCACTTGGATCATCATATAAGTATGGGGTCGTATTGCGGTAATGTGTTCAGCAAGTTTGGGGTCCATTGGGCGTTTTCTTGCGGCTATCGGGCCATATCGGTGGCATGTATTGTTATTAGTTTGAGTCATCGTGGGGTCGAGCCCCTATGGGGACACGAAATGTGTGAGGGGTGTTCCGAAATGGGGCGGGCCACCATGCGGTCGCAACCGTTGGAGCTTTCCGTGGAGCTCTCTATAGGGCCACGAAACGTGCGATGGGGTGTGCCGAGATGGGGCGGGCCAGCACGGGGACGCAGCCACTGGAGCCGTCGGTGGAGCTCCCTATGGGGCACGGAAACGTGGATGATGATGAGGATGTTGATGGTGGTGATGGTGATGGTATTGTTGATGGTGATGATGCAAATGATGATGGCACTTATTGTGATGATCAGGATGGCGATGGGAAGAGGTAAGAGGAGGTGGAGGAGGAGGAGGAAGAGGGGGGGAGCGGAGAGAGGAGTGAGGAGGGAGAGGGAGGAGGAGAGGAGAGGAGAGGGAAGGAGAGGAGAGGAAGGAGACGCGCGGCGCTGCGACTTCAAAACGAGGATCCAACACACAGGAGGGTTTTGGAACAAGAGACAGCACGAGCATGAGAAAATATGACTGTCAACAGCAACCGTCACAGCCTTGTGTCCCCAAGGGGGCCCGCAGATCCTCGAGAGCCACTTGACAGCGATATCGGAAGCCAG